GCCGCCAGATAATTATCCGTGTCTTCACGGTTGTTTTCATCGCAAAGCATGCCGGGACATAATTCTAGTACATTTTTTTCCAATCGTAAATATCTTGATAATCAGACAGGCGATTGGATTGTAAAAGTCATTGAGTTCTTGACTGACCTAAAATTATCATTGCAGCATGAGTTAAATCCAGGATTTTGTTTTAGAATCTGAGATAAAGTTACCGGATCCCTTTAAATGCGTTTGCATTAAAGGTGGTACCCCCCCCCCCCAACTCAGTGTTATTTAGGGTAAGCACATGCGTGTTCCCAGCACCCCCCCCCCCCTTTTTTTTTAGCATAAGTCCCCTGTTGTTAAGTCAATACGGGCAGATCTTTTTCATTGCAAAACTCCAGAGAATCCAAAACTCTGCTGCCAGGCTCTGTTCACTTTGATGTACATGTACGGTATATGTATTGTAATTTGTAGGTTTATTCACACTTTTTTTGTTTTGTTTAATATGTAATTGTTTATCATTCTATTTTTGTTTGTTATAGCGCTTAGAGATTTTGGTGGTAAGCGCTTTAAAAGTAGCGTTTTTTTTTATATTTTAATTTTTTTAATTTTGTTACAAGCCAGAGAATTTGGGAACACGCATGCGGTACCTCCGTTCCCGGAGTGGTGGGGGGGGGGGGGGGGGGGAGGGGGGGGGGGGGAGGGGGGTGGTACTACTACTCTTCATAGGATGTCAACTTATTTGCATTGCATTAAACCTGTTGATATTGATCTCATGGTTATATTTATTTTATAAATAAAATCAAACAACACAGCGAGGGTTGTAGATGACTACTAAGCAATCATTACTGTATGTAGGACACTGAGTTGAAGTTATTCATGATTTATTCAAGAGAGGAAGGTCAGACAGGCCTGATGTTTAAAATATTTAACAAGAGAAACATAGAAACAGAGAGAGGCATTGAGAGAGATGTCGACACTTAATGAAAGAGAAAGAGTGATAATAAGGAGAGAGGGGGAGAGAAAGAGAGAGAGAGAGAGAGAGACGGAGAGGGGTGGGAGAGATAGACAGGGAGAGCAAGAATTAGGTGTGAAGAGGAAGATCAAGAGAATGAAAGATTGAATTTTACAAATGTACATGTTTCCATGTACCTTTTCTTAATTTATATTATAATGGGAACGATATAGTGATGGTCTTTGCTTAATTTTAGTTTGCATTCTTTCCTCTCGCCTTGTATTCTAATTTATTATTTTAATTTAGTAAATGTTTGTATAAATATTTTGATTTCTATCTCTTCCCCTATGTCATAGCCTTGTTCTTGCTCTCCCTTCCTCATGTTAGTCTATCTCTCTTTCTCTCTCTCTGTAATGATAACCCCTCTATCAATCTTTTCTTCATCAACTCTTGATATATTCCTCCTCTTCTCCTTCTCGTTCATCATCACGATCATCATCATCATCTCAAAACTGTATTAATCAATCTACATGTATAAGACTCCTGAGATTGATCAATACAGTTCTTATAATATATGACCATTATGTACAAACAGTAAGAACAATTATTCCAACTTGATGGGCAACAACGTAATCTCCATTTTCTCCTCCTCGTTCAAATATTGGCTTCTTTTTCAATTTTCATTCTTTACTTGTGTTACTTCTCTTTCTCTCTGACTACAGTGTATACTCACAAGAAAGTAGAATCAATGGTTTGACATGACCAGTCTAGAAAATGAACTAAATTTATTCAAGTATCAAATACATTTTGAATTTCAGACAGCTTTCTCCCAGGAGATGAAACAAATGTCTCCCTAACCAGAAACTGACAAAATAACTAAATGCCTTCCCCTCTTTGTAGTCTCTCATTATTCTTCCCTCTAGTGATGGAGGGTCCTTATCCAGTAGCACACAAATGTCTCTATACATAGTAGACGGCCATCTCTACATGCCTTTCTTCCCCCCCCCCCCCCATCCATCCATCATCCAGTTCCTCTCTACCTCTCTACCTCGAATGGCTGAACAGTACCCCCAGCGTCAGGGCAGAGAACACCCATAAAATAATGACTTCTCCAAGCTTGAGTCCCCTCCTTGTAGAAAGTCACGTATCACTTCTGTTGTCCATTGTGAAATGAGCTCTCTCGTAGCATCTACGTCATCTTCTGATTCATCGGCCATATAGTGTTTGATGATGCTGCAACTGATAAATAAAAGGAAAAAGACAATCAAATTAAGTTTGTAACCTGAAGAATAACGGTAACAAAAGAACCCTTATCACACTAGATCATGGGGAAATATTTTTGTGCTAAAGGGTGACCCCAAAGGGGTGACCCCAAAAAGGTGACCTTACCATCAACTGAACAAAATATCGGTCTGCCAAATTCATATTTTCGGGAAAAAATAGATGCTCTAACCGACCCCCCCCCCCCCCCCCCCCCTCTCATTCTCCGGCTGGCTGAGTCGATGTGAAATTTTCGGCACGATTTTCAAATTTTAACCCCCCCCCCCCTCGAAAATTCCTTCATACGCCCCTGTCATGTAGATCCTCAAGTAGAGCTCATCAATACATAGACTATTATATTCAGATCAAGATAGACACAAGGCAATCAGTCTACTTAAAATGCACACACATTTAAACATACGGGACTAGATCTAGAGGTAGGCAGTTCAGGTGATTTTTTTTTTGTAGGAGATAGGGGATGATTTCTATATCATTTTAAAGATCACATTTTTATTTACACAATGCACTTTGAATTGTTCAATTTGGACCAACGGTTCCAGAGATACGGATTTTTAAAATAATTTTCAGAACCATATTGATGAGGACAAAAGATCAAAAGGTCAAACCTATTATAATTGTATTGAAGTCCATTAAACCTGTGTTTAAGCAGTGGCACCATTGTTTTCAGAAGTTTGTGATCTGTTAAGCCTCATAACAGTCATATCTCTTCAATGCAATGACCAAACTCGCTGAAATTTGGCAAGTATATTCAGTGATGTTTGGCAAATATGAAATTTAATATCTTTAAACAGCACCGTATTAAAATATGCAAATTTATGCAAATTTATGCAAATTTCCATTTTTTTGTCATCATATTGTTATAAAAGGTAAATAAAAACCCTTTGAATCTAAACTTTTACCAAATGATCTTGTCTATTTATTTATTTCTTTCTTTCTCTCTCTCTCTCTCTCTCACACACACACACACACACACACGCACGTTCTCCCTCTCTCTCTCTCTTTCTTTTTTTTCTCTTTTTCTTTTTTTCTCTCTCTCTCTATTTCTTTCTTTCTTTCTCGGTCTTTCTCTCTCGGTCTTTCTCTCCTAGTCTCTCTCTCTCTCTCACACACACACACACACGCGCACACACGCACGCTTTCTCCCTCTCTCTCTCTCTCTCTCGGTCTTTCTCTCCTAGTCTCTCTCTCTCTCTCTCTCTCAACACGCACGCACACACCCACACAAAAGGATGAGGTGACAAATCGTCTATGTAGTCTATACTTGCAGCAATCTTGCAGTAAATGAACAGTTTTTTCGAAAAAATATCGTTACTTTACCCCCAAAATATAACCAATTCATGCTAGATTATTACAATATTATTCCAAATATTAAAATAAATATCACAATTATCAATAAAATACAACATACAATAAACAAAAATTGAAAAAACAAGTCAATCAAGTCACAAACGGGTCTGAATTCAAAGACTACGAAATGGTCTCGACGTCACTCACACAGCTGTTTCATTCACGTACACACCATGTACACGCATCACGCGTCGCATCATCAAAATCGGTTCGTGCAATTTTCAAAAACTGCAATCATATTATCATATCTACCATAAGATCTACTCATCATCATTATATGAAACTTTCAGGAAAGAAGGTAAGATGTTTAATTTTGTTAATTACGGAGTTGTAAGTTAGTTGAAAAACTCCTTCCATCTGAATTTCATCAATTTGTCGGCAGATTTGAGCAAAACCATCTACTACGATGGTTATTCAACGTACAACTCACTTCCGATGTGCATCGATAATTGTCGAAGAGAAATGACGTCATATTTTATTGTTTTAACCAATCAGAAGGCAGGGAAATCCGAAATAAACCGAGTGTTTTTTTTCGGCAGAACCACGAAAGCTCACGAAAGTGTGGCCGAAAGCGCGCTCACCCTGATGTATGTGGATTCGTATAGGGAGCTGAAATGCGCACCTGCGTACGTACTATAAGAAGTTGTCCCCATCGCGAAGGTCTAAACTGAACTGCCTACTAGAGGTCTAGGCCTACATTTAGTAAAGCTTGACCCGGCCCACTCTCATGCATTACGTCGTATTATCAGCTTTATTCGTCATAAAAATGAATAAACACAAACTTTGGTTTCTTACCGTACAAACGATACTGGAGTGAAAGAAAATCACTGCAGAATAGCGGATTATGTACAAGATTAAGATGTTGCTTCGATAAGAATCCCGTTGTTTGCAACGGGACAGCTGATCACGGCGAAGGTAAAAATGTACTAGAATTATGTCCCGGCATGCTTTGCGATGAAACAACCGTGAAGACACGGATAATTATCTGGCGGCCGCCAGATAATTATCTGGCGGCCGCCAGATAATTAACTGGCGGCCGCCAGATAATTAACTGGCGGCCGCCAGATAATTATCTGGCGGCCGCCAGATAATTTCTCTTAAATTTATTTCGTAGGTGGCACTAATGGGCTTCCGTAGCTAACAGAACACCCCCTAACAGATACCATAGAACACAATAGTGATATCGGCTGCTTATTTTATTTGACGATTTGACGATTTCATTTATTTTATAGGGGTTAACATATTCTGGAGGGGATGTGTGTGTTTATAAGTCACACATGCTTTGTTTATATTAAACTACCGAAGACAATTGAACAATTATCGTGTCATAATAAATCATTGAAAACATTATTTAATTTTTTTTAGCACGTAAATTTAACAAAATCTTGTAATCTATTGAAAAGTGATGGATTATCATTACAAATTTACCCAAAAGAGAATCGCATCCATCCACCGGGCGGTCGGTGTGTGTATACGAGCTCGAACTTGTGGCGCGCTATATAAATTCCACAATATTTACGTTACTTGGCACCATCAGTTTTCGAGAAAGGACAGGTGAAATGTTTTATTATATCATTTTTTCAATTCATATTACTATCTCAATGTGTGTGTTACATATTACAATGATGATTGAGTTTCGCTCATCATTTCAAAAGATTACATGAGACAAATAATGAATGTTACCTTCTAAAAATGTATAGAATGTTGATAGGTCTAGATCATAGATGATTTTTCCGCTCTCGCGATCGCGCTTGGCATGCTTGCATTTTTCCAGCTGTGCAGCTCCAGTGTGATTTGAGTTCGACTGTCGCCGCGCTGTGCACTGTGTGTAGTGAATGAACTGCTACTAAAACTTAGTAGAATGATATGACCAATGCCAATGGCATGGCAATGCCATTCACATGTCAATGTCTATGATTTTAGAATTTTATATCAAGCTTTAATGTATGATCTAATAATAATAATAGACCTAGATTCTGGATCTAGAGTCTACAGTTTCACAAATGTCAGGCAATTGAGCCTCTTTCAATTCACTGTGTTGACTGTAGACTATCAGTATCACACTCACACTCACCAGACCATGTTACAGCATTCTGGATCATTGACCAGTGTAGACTGAATTTTCTGTCATCTTTCGTTCGTTTAGCCTCTTATTTGGGTAGGGTCGGCAGAAAATTTGGTCTAGGACCAGCGCGAACGGGGCCGGGATGCATAAATTGCATCATATTTTGTCTTTTGACATGCAGGCAAGCTTGAAAAGTAGCCCCGCCCCCGAAAAATAAATATTAATTTTTTCCCTGTGTTTACCGTTAGACTCTAGACTTCATTTGTAGGAGTAAGTGAAACCAGTTGTAGTCTCAAACTCAGAGAAACACATCCCCAAACAAAATAAATAGACTTTTTTTGTTTTTTCAGTCTAGAATAGAACAAAACGGACTTAATAGTGACACTGTCACACCAACAGTTATTTCGTCAAATGTGTTTGTTTAATAGAGTGGTCAAGTGTGACGTCATCAAAAAACTATTTTGAGATTTTCCAAATTTGAACTTTTTCTGAAAGCGCATCAAAAATAATATCCAAATCTTGAAGCATTCGCTGAGATATGACCATCCGAAAAAAATAGATTAAAAATTTTGCTCTGGTTCGTAATGTTATGAACATAGAGCAAAATAACATTGATTTCCTGTTGAACTCTTCCATAATTTTATTAATTGAATTCGTTTTCACTGGCTGCCTGCCTGCCCTAACAACAAAGAAGATGAAAGACTTCATGCATGGCTGATCGCCAACGAAACAGAGTTGGTTGCTTGTTGCTACTGCAGGCAGCGAGTGAAAACAAACTTGTTCAATAAAATTATGGAAATGCAAGCATCACTTTAAACAAACAGAACTTTGTTATTCCAGGCTCCTGTTTAAGATGTCATATAAAAGGGCAGAAAATGAACTTTCTGGAAATGTGATTTTCTCTTTGAAATTCCAATAATGTTCGCCAAATGACATTTTGGTACCCTTTCTTCAAATTGTTTTTAATCACTCATGCGTGAAATATGCATCATATGACTTGCATCAAATAAAAGAGGAGGATCTAAGCTTTACAAATCATTTATTAATTATAATTGTGATTAAGTTATGATAAAACATTGATAGTTCTCGGTTTCGTTTTTTTTCTCGAACGCACTGTATATTAAAAGCAAACAAAGCAAATAAAGTGTTTGGTATAAAAAATACAATATTAAATGAATCTAATGCTAGAACTAGATGTCAGCTTATGAGTACCGGTATAATATTGCATAAAACCATACAAACTAGTTAAGGATAAGTCTAGCAGTTGATATTTGCAATTTTATTGATTGATTTTTTTCTTCTTCCAGGTTCATTCAAAAAGGAAACATGGCAATGCAAATGCACAATGCTGAGCAGGAAGTTTCTGAGGAGTTTGGTCCACTCGGTATCAGTAGGCTTGAGGTGAGAAATTTCATAATCCTGCCCTTTTACCCCATGGCTAGAATATGTCCAAAACTCTCATTTATCTTGCTTTTATTTTATTTTATTTCATTTTATTTTTATCATTATTATATTTGTACAGTCAAGCCAATACTATTAGGAGTAGACTGAAGATTGATACGGTATACATACACTTGTACATTTAGTGTGTATGATGTGAACACTGTTCGGATGTCCACAAATTATCTCAACAATGTCTTTATTTCTACAAAAAGTTATTTGTTTTAACAAATAATTGTGGATTAAATCTGGAATGACATGATATATCCAATGCATTATTAGCTGTATTTTTAGATTGATTTATCTGTTCATATGAGCATGGCCTCTTCAGCTTGTAACAGCTGGAAACTTGCCGGTTGGGAAATTCCTAAACCAGAATTATAGTTGGTATTTATAGTACATATACATGTATATATTTGATTTGTATTTAAAGTAACTCCTTATGCATTCTCTGGGTAGATATACATGTATGTGCACTACACAAGTTGTCATTATTATCACATGGTAGAGGGTTTCCAGCTTTCCTAGAAAGTAGGGATGAGTTCCCTTTTTACAGTCAAGGAAATATGGAAAAAGTCTGGGTATTTGAGGGGGGGAAAAAAAATCACTTGAGAGAAAAATCAATCTGACCAATCAAAATTCAGGGAATTTCATTTGTCCCCCCCCCCCCCCCAAAAAAGAGTAGAAGCTCTCTTACATTTTTGTCTTGTGTCCACATAGCATATCTACCAGAAGTTTGGATCTGGTGGTTTATTATCATATGCATGTGCTGTGTAGTGTGCCTCCTTTAATGATCTGGACACTTTGAAACTTTGTCTGGGAAAAGTAAGGGAATTATGTTTTTCACAAAATGCTGAGAACTCCACAATTATCATAGTTACAAGTGATGTTGGAATGCATATGAGTAAAAACATATTGACATTCTAGATGCAGGTATTTTGATAATGATAATTTCATTTCCTACAGGCTAGTGGAATAAGCTCTAATGATGTGAAGAAGCTGGAGGAAGCAGGTATGCACACTGTGGAGTCTGTGGCTTACTCTACCAAGAAAGAACTGTGTGCTGTCAAGGGTATCAGTGAGGCTAAGGCAGATAAGATCCTGGTAAGATTTGTTTAAATAAGACATGGACAGAAATTGATAGAATCAGAAGAAGGAAGAAGAAGGAAGAAAGCAAAGGTGAAAAGAGTCTAGTTAAACCTGGCCTTATCGTAATAAATGTCTGATATTCAATTCAGCTTTAGGCCTTGTTTGGGGGCAAATACCGGTAGAGTCAATTTACGTCCAAGACATGATGGCTCTTGTAAATATATGTTGCTTGTGATATTGGTATTGGATTGATAGTGTGTTTTTGATCCAGCTATTTTATAATTTGTTTGAGCCCAGGTTTCTTTTCTTTACTTTGTTTCATGGAATTTATTAGTCAGTTAAATATAAGGTAAGCCTTAAGAAGCTGTAACAGTTTTACATGAATCCTATAAAATGTGCACCAGATAATTTTGATATGTGTGAAGTAAAGTACAAACTACAAAGCTAATATTTTGATTGAAAATGAGACTTTAATTCCCTACTCTTGACTTGCTTCAAATCAATTTCATAGTCCATGTCAAATTGTGCTTTTACAGACGGAGGCCCAGAAGCTTGTTCCTATGGGCTTCACCACGGCTACTCAGTTCCACCAACAGAGATCAGAGATCATACAGGTCACAACTGGCTCCAAGGAGCTGGACAAACTTCTACAAGGTATGGTGTATTCTTCACCTGAAACAGTACAGAAAGAAAAAAAGATGTGTGATTCTAATAGAATGGAATGTTTTATGTGGAGAGTCTGGGGACTATCCTTTCAAAACATTTACTTTCTCATTTTATTTTTGTGTAAGTGGCTATAAAAGCCGCTAAAGTGGGACATGGCCGGGCCTCAACTCAATGGTTCCAGTTCCTGGTCCCCTCTCCTTTCAGTTATATAGGCCAAGTAAAAAAAACACTAGAACAAAGAACTTGCACTCAGTTACCCATATCCATAAAGTTGTGCCCCCCCCCCCATATTTTGTTGTTGCATGTTCTCAAATGCCTCCTATAGATGAGGCTTGTAATTTCCTTTGATAATATACAAGCTTATTCTTTATTCTATAAAGATTTTTTAATTTTCCTGAAGATATGTTTTGAGATTTTCTATTGATTTTTTTTTCTTTCCGGCTTCAGGTGGTATTGAGACTGGTTCTATCACAGAAATCTTTGGAGAGTTCAGAACTGGAAAGACACAACTCTGCCATACTATGGCAGTGACTTGTCAGGTAAGAGCTTTGCCTCAAATTTGTTTACTGTTAGTGTGTATCTTGGACAAGACATGTTGTGTAGAAACTTACAAAAAACAAAGAAAAAAAATCATGTGAATGCTACAGACCATCAATATTAAATCATAAATGTGTTATATTCTATTTATTTCTTTTTGTAAGATTTATCATAAATATTGTATATATTATGACTGATTGTATGTATAATTATGGAATTTTTTCCTGCTTAATATTATTATCTGAACCCTGTCTTGGTTAAATTCTACAGAATGTTAAACATTTGGCTATGGGATAAATAAATCAGATTTTGAATTTATCCATTGATAACTCCAGCCCAAATCTTTATTATGAAACAATTATTCCAGTACAATTGCCCTCAATTTTTGCCTTGTTAGCTACCTATTGACAATGGTGGAGGAGAAGGGAAATGTCTCTACATAGACACAGAGGGTACCTTCCGACCTGAGAGATTGATTGCTGTAGCAGACAGGTGAGTACCAGAAGGGCTGTTAGCTAGCTCTCCATGTAGTTATGCTGTTCTTGTTCTCCATGCACTGTACAATGTGCAGTACATGATATAAATCAGGTAGACCAGAGTTATCTAATTAAAAAAAAAAGTAGATTACGAGTATGCATTTAAGCAATGGTACTCTACAAATTCCCAGATTTTATAGGATTGGATATTGTTTTAGCCCAAAACCTGATGAAATTTATCAAAACACACATGATGGATTACAATAGTAATAATGAACTGTTTGTTATATAGTGCCTTACCAGTCATTACACGACTGACCAAAGAGCTTACAGTATTATTTCCCCGGTCACTTAATTACCAGAATAGAGGTAAGATAGGAGGGACATCATTTAGGATGGCCTCATTTTTCTTACCTATATGTACTCTACATGACTGTATGATACATTTAATTTGATTTAGATACAATCTGTCAGGCAGTGATGTGTTGGACAACGTAGCGTATGCGAGAGCTCACAACTCAGATCATCAGTCACAACTCCTTCTTCAGGCTTCAGCAATGATGGCAGAATCAAGGTGAGAAAAGTTTAAATTTCAAAACGAGTTCACAATTAGTTCATTCCGAAGACCAGTCTTGATACATAAATGAAACATAGGATTGTCCCAATTTGTCAAAATCTGCAACACCATGTTTCATTTATTTGTTTTTGGTATAGTCAATTGTCTATTTTATTCTTTTGCTTTCATTAGGTTGAATTTCTGCTTGGGGTCGGGGGGGGGGGGGGGGGCAGGGATTGGTGTTCCATGACATAGGAGAACCCTTATCCTAAGCTTGTTTCTGCACTTCTCATCCAAAATGTGGTGAAAATATGGTGCATGTAATAACCTCCGTATCTCAATCAGTTATATTTATGAGAAGAGAGGACTGATAAATTAGGTGATTGAATGAAAAATATTATTGATCATGATGATGTGATCATTGATAACAATCCAGTAAAATGATAGTATGTTTTCATTTGCCAGACTACCCACTACTTTATGGAACTGGTTGCTCAAACACTGTTTTCATGGCTGATAGAAATGACATTATGTTACCTATTTTATACCAGGTATGCTTTGCTGATTGTAGACAGTGCCACAGCACTTTATCGCACAGACTACTCCGGGCGTGGTGAGCTAGCCTCAAGGCAGATGCATTTGGGGAGGTTTTTAAGAACACTGCTCAGACTTGCTGATGAGGTAAAGAACAAAGAAAAGAAAAACCTTTATAGTCAGGGTATTTTACCAATATTGCTGCCACTTCTGTAAAGTATTTTCAATTGTGCCATATTTCGGTGAAAGCGTACATAGAGTGATTTCCAGTTCCTGTACCCAAGCATCATCATGCTCATATCGTCAGTTGGTGATATATTGTGGGACATGGACATTGTGAGCAGCAGATGGTAGTATATGTAAATCTGAAGTAGTGTCAGTAGAATACCTTGCCTTTAAAGAGTGAAATAATGCTCCATCTTGGTGATATCTCTGCATTTTTGTCTCGCCTGCGTAGCAAAAAGCGAGACATAGGCGCCGCTTTTCGGCGACGGCGTCAACGTTTTAGAATTTTTAATATAATTTTGATTGTATAAATTCTTATTCAATGAAACTTGAACTAAAGAGTTATCAAGTATTCCCGATCATGTGAGGAGAATTTCAGGTCAGTAAGTCAAGGTCAAAGGTCATTTCGGGTCTGCAAACTTAGACTTTGTTGTGGCATCAACATCAAGATTTTGAATTTTTAGCATAATTTCAGAATTCCTATTCCATGAAAATCAAACATAAGTGTTGTCAAGTATCACCAATTATGTGATTAGTCTCTTAGGTGACAAACTCAAGGGCAAGTGTCATTTCAGGTTTGCATTCAGTGTTTTCAAGAATTTGAATTTTTAGCATAACTTCAAAAGTGTTTGTTCAAATTCCATGAAACTTGTACCCAAGGGCTACCAAGTATCACAAATCATATGACACAAATTCCAGGTCACAAAGTCAAAGTCAAAGGTCATTTTAGGTCAGTAGACTTGAATTTTGTTTTTCACAACTTAATATGAGAAATAATAAATTAATTTTTGTTATTTGTTCATATTTCATGAAAGTTATTAATCTTGGTAGAAATAATAGTAAATAATTTTTCTGATGATTCTTAGTCAATATCCACTTCACAATGCTGATTATATTCAGAGGATTTCACATTTTGCAGTCTGCTAATGGACCACAATGCCTATAATAATGTCCAAATCTCAATTTTTCATCATATCGAATTGCGTAATGCAGGCTAGACTGCCGAGAGCGTTTCCCTTGTTATGAAAGTGGGGTATGCTAGCCTTAAGACAGATGCATATATGGGAAGTCTCCCAAGTACACTATTCAGCCTTGCTGAAGAGGCAAACAAATGCCTTGAAGGGATGAACTTTATTTCTTTTTCTGCGTTTTCTAGGCAATGTTGGTTTAAAGTGTGAATTAGCATTCATACATTGTGAAATTCGGATCAGAATTTGAATTTGTGAAATATTGGTAGAGGCATAGTTGGTATGAAACAGTGTTGATCCAACATGGTTCACATGTGAAAGCACATTTGTGAAAAAATAACTTTTTTTTTCTTCAAAGGTCACCTTTTTACAAATATATACAAATTATTGTTTTATGTCTTACCATTTGTGTAACATGCACACATTCTCACTGTCATAAAAATATCTCTTGTATTTCTTAGTATGGTGTTGCTGTGGTGATCACTAACCAGGTTGTCGCTCAAGTAGATGGTGCAGCGATGTTCACTTCAGATCCTAAGAAACCCATAGGAGGTCATATCATGGCTCATGCTTCCACTACAAGGTTAGTGCACTTTCAGAAAGTTCAAATCAATTTAGAAATATGGTATTGTAATTTGATTCACTGTGTACTTGATAACAAGAGCCATTATTTATTTTGCTGTGTGAAGTGCTAATATTGATTTTGCTGTGTGAAATTGGTATGAAAAATTTGTATAAAAATGCATAATTTCAAGAAGCAATATGATTAACCTAATTATTAGCATTGCATGTTCTGGCCATAATAGCAATTTTTGGGGGGTATTCAAGAATGCTCTTTAGAAATAATTCTCTTCTTGTAATCCTTTATGTTTGATGATATGAATAGTTTCGCCTCTTTATGTCTTTGTTTTTCTTCTCACTCTCTCTTTATTTCCTCCTTTCTTTATTTTGCATGTCTTGTACTTCTTTCTTTTCACTATTATTGCCCCCAACTCATCTCTTTTTGTCTCTCTGTGCCTCTCTTCATCTTTCTCCCACTCTGTTCTACAGGCTATACCTGAGGAAAGGTCGAGGTGAGACCAGGATATGTAAGATCTATGATTCCCCCTGCCTGCCTGAAGCAGAAGCCATGTTTGCCATCAATCCCGATGGTGTTGGTGATGCCAAGGACTGATCTGATCTGACCTGACCAAAATCCTTACCGAACTCTTTCTATCAAGGCGAGCAGCCCGACACTTGACCTGAAGTAGCCCTCCAGTTAACATGAAGAAGCCTACATTGTACATATGGACATGGATTCAGTTGCTCCTGCTTAAATTTTGTTGATCAAATTGTCCATCATGATGGTGCCATAGAAGGTTGTTACACATGATATCAGGGCTATTAGTCCTACCCTGGTCTCTAAGTAGCCTACCTTGTATATGGACATGGCTTCATTTCTTCATGCTTAATTGTGTTTATCAAACTATCCATAGTGATTGCAGAATGGATTTCCCAAAGAACAATTGAGTAACTTCAGCTGTGGTAACCCTACAAATGATTAGTTGTATGTAACCATGTTGTATAAAAGGACATTACTTCAATCACTCATCATTTATGCTTCATTTGGTTCGTCGTAATGGTCATAGTGCTGTGGTGTTTGGGTAAATATGCATTCTTGGTCAGTTTCCATTTAGAGTGTAAGTTATTGCATTACTGATTATTTTTCCTGCTTTCACTGAGGAAAAACTGATAATGGAATGGAATTTATTCTGATTGATATGCATAAAACAAGAAAACTTCATGTGGTCTTTCTTGAAATTTATGGAGAGGAAATTTATGTTGATTTCAAGATTTGTAAACATTAGCAACTCTGTGTATGTGCGAGTGATATAGGAATCTAATGACCTTGAGATATACAACAACAGTCCATTTGACTCATGGATTGAAGAATCTACAGGTGGATTAGGTCTAAGAAACTTGCATCTGACTTGCATCTTTCCCAGTGTTTCCTGGAATGAGAAGTGAAATGTGCATACATTGTCTTAAATCAACGTCCAAGTACTTTTATACTAGATTCAGTCACAAATTCACACTTTAGTATGTGGCCATTTCTTGACAGATACCTTTGTTGGGGCACATGAGGAAATTATTACCCGAACTTTTCCTGTGAGCATTCATATTTAAAAATGTAAATCAAATCCTTTTTTTTTCCTGAATGAATTGTACACATATGATTAGGTTATTAATGGCTATTAGAACTTCATTAAAAAGTTGTAGAAGCTAGCATTGTTTAATTTTATTTGAAATGAGAGATTAAAAAAAACTTAATCAAATCTGACTATTATATTAGTTAAGTATGATACATGTACATGTAAGATAATATATATTTAATACACTGTTCTCTTGTATGTGCTTAAAATGTTGGCTTCTTTAGTTTGAAGATATTTTATTGTATACGACAGTCATTATTTGTACTATAAACAATTTTTGTCTCCCATAGCCTGATGCAAAAAGGGTGACAGTAATAATATGCACCAACCATCAAAAGAAGGAACTAGATTGTAATTTCTTTTCCTTTTTTGTGTATAAATCATGGATTTCTGTTGATAGTTTCCTTTTTATGCTGGTAATATGTCTTTTAATATTTAGGTGATTATTTCTTTATTATTTCCTTTTTACAAATATTATAATAATTCCTTTTTTTGCATATACATTGTATGATCAAAAGACATGTATTATGTCATATTCAGTTCTTATCATTTGATCCTTTCTTCATTCCTTGCATCAAAACAGATCTGTAAATAAAGCAAAATTTGTATATGGTTAACACGTCATTGTTTTCATTTAGAATACCATTACCCAAGACCCTTGAATTTTGCAATGTAATCTTGCACTCTCTGCCCAAGAAAACTTGGGATCAGTTAAGTCTAGAATCTGAAAAGTGTTATTTTATTTCACGTTTGCGATCTCTGCCTTCCCCTACCTGCTCCAAGCTGAAGATCGTGTAATGGGGATCATGTAAAATTTTTGGCTTGCAGCAAGTAGAGGAAGATGGCATAACATTATTTGAGATTGTCTAAAAATTAAATCGATCAGATTCTGGACTAATCATCCTCTTTCGCCACCTCCAAACCCACAACCTAATACTGACCACATTGTGAAAATGGTCATCTTTTGTTAAGAAGGATGAGCAATATGTACAAAGCACAAAATATCCAGTTCAGTGATCATGGTCAGAAAAGTGGAAAGAGATAGAGAGAAGGATAGAAAGATCAACAGGGAGAGAGAGAGAGAGAGAGAGAGAGAGAGCAATAGTGCTTGAACGACAAGCGTTAAGGTATGGAGAGAAGGAATAATAACAAGATGTACCTGCCAACCCCTACAAATAATCCAGAATATTACGTCTTCCTGGATTTCTAGGACCTGAAAATCTGGAATATTCTGATTTAAATTTTTTTTTTTTTATGTGCTAAAGCCAAATAAAGCTTGTTTTATCATGTGCCGTGATTTGAGAGTTCACATATTGTGTACGTTGATTGGCTGCATGATCGAGCAGCAAATTTGTATTCAATTTTAGGTACAGATTTCTCATTTTCGAAGACATGCCGTGCTAAAAATTCCTAATTCTTATTTTCAAATGTTGGCAGGTACATGTATGGATGTTAACAATGATGCGAAGGAAAATCAAACATGATTATTGCCTAAAAAAAGGAGAAAGAAAGAGAGAAGATGGTTCAAGAAAGAAGATATGAATGATTGTTGGAAAGACTCCTTACATAGGTTTAATGAGATGGAATATAGCTGGTATATTTTCATGTATAATCGGTACCAGTGTCTTTGCTGACCTGCTCTATGAAAAACTGGAAACGACCTGCATGTATGTTCTGCTGGTAGTTTTTTTCTGTATCTCATTTGTTTCTTTCAAACCTATTGTAAACCCATCTTTAATGTAGTTTACTAAAGAACTCTATAGCAAGCAGCTAAAATGTAAGTGTGTAAGCATTTTCTCATTATTATACCCCATGTAGGCTATCATAGATTAAATACATTCATTTTATGTTTATGATTAAGAAATAATGTAATAGTTTACCAGATTTATGATACACATTCTTCAATGATTTTGTTTTAATCGCTCATAAACAGTGCATTATCATTTTCATTCTTTCCAGCCAAGACTTTATGATTTCTTATATAAGTCAAGGATCCAAAAAATTTGTATGTACAATTACTTCTTTTTTCAGGCTAGTGATAGTACGTACATGTACATCTGTCATTTTCTCATGTCTCTTTTTATTTCACTGAGTCAAGCTCTGACGATGTAATTTTGCATTACTTATATTGAAGTTTTTGTTTGTTTATTTTCTTTAAAACCGATTTGCTTCACCTTTTCTTTGTCGACCTAAACCATGCAACAGGTCTACCCCGAGTGTGGTACTTACTATTATTGTACCATTAATTGGTGTAGTAGTCTACTTGCTTCCAGCTCCATTTGAACCAGTCGGGTTTGAGTAAGTTCCATCAGTTTCATGTCAGATTAATCAATTCAGTCATTCAATATTAAAAATTGTAAATACTGTTACATGTATATGCAAACTGTTTTTAGATATATGCAGAAAATACCTGAAACAGCCTGTGATTTATTTTCCAGTCTTGTCTTAATTCAATATAACTTATACCTCAAGTGAAGGGCAATATTTTAATAAACTTAATTCTCTATGTGTGGAAGAGACATGGTTAATGGCTCTTTAGTCATTGAAATAGTTTTACACTCATAATTTTATATACTTCAAATGACTATTTCTATTTTCTTGTATCTTGTCTTTATTGTCTTCCTAAAATGTATTATTTAATTGTGACAAAAATTATAGCAATTTAAAAATCGTACCAGCAAATTTATGTATAGTCATATCCTTCATTGTTTTTTTTAGATAATCGCCTCGCCCCCCAAAAAAATAAAAATAAATAAAAAATAAATGAGTAAAAATGAAACAAACAGTTGAGATCGATTATCGGACACCACACCAAGATTTATGCTCGTCAATTTCTATTACATTTCCAGATTGCAAAGTCCTCCATATCTTGGAGACGCTCTACCAGTGAATGATCATCTCCAGAGAGCAGAGAAAATCCTAGAGAATCAGGTCCTTGGTCCTGAATCACTGGTCTTCAAAGATGGTAGAGACACTCTGACAATAGCCTACTGTTGATATAATCATACAAGTGATCAACCAAAAACCACTTCCCAATTTAAGTAAAAAATAAAATGGTATTAATCAAAAGATATGAACAGTAGGCCAATATATCATTTCAGTGAATTTCTTCATTTCAATATCTCATTTCTCTCTTTCTACATAATAAATACATGCGCATATATATATCTCTCTGTCTATGATTTTTTTTTCTTTCTCTCTCTCTCTCTTGCCTCTGCCCTTCTGTTTCTATCCTTCCACGTTCTTGTCTTTAAGTCTTTCCCATTTCACTCCTTGATCTCCTGCAATCAAAGTAAATGGTTCCTAGTTATCATTTAATTCAGAATATTGAAAGATATGTGATATAGCACCTTTTCCTTGCAGTTACAAAGTGCTGCACACACCGCTCCACAATGTTTAGGCCACTTATAAACGAAAGTTAGTCACTTCTCAGAAACCAGTTCAGTATATGTAGGCTGGTAATAAGGTAATTTCTAGCAGAATCAAGAAGATTTTAACATAAAAATCATTTTCCTGTTCATGTTCATAAAGGTGACATCTACAGTGGTACCGCTGATGGAAAGATCATCAAAATCAACTCAAACTTGGAGCTAACTAATGTACTTTCACTTGGATCTGTATATTGTGGTAAGAATTTTGATGTTGCTTTATAATGTTAGGGTATGGTGGCGATGACAAACTTGTGCAGTATACTTCTTTGTAGAATTCATCCTGATCATGTTGATTATTGTCATTATGAAAGCGGTATGAGATACTGTACTAATGATAAACATAAATTGTATCACACCTTGTGTCTACGTACAGTATGCAATTAGAAATGTAGTCTAGAGGGAGGGGGGGGGGGGGGGGGAGGGCGCACATTATTGTACTTGTGTAATGAAGAATTTCAAGGGGGTACAGGCCGGTTGGTTGCTTGTACCCCTAAGGTGTATTGGTGAGGATACTACCTCGGATGAAATAAATGACATGGTCATTTCCCTTAAGAATACAATCATTAAAAAAATTAAAATTCTGTCTTTCAGGGAATGAAATTGAATGCGGTCGTCCTCTAGGCTTACGGTTCACCAAAGATGGACTCCTATACATCATCGATGCTCATCTAGGCCTGTTCCATGTTAACGTGTCAACAGGTATGCCAAAAAATTGGTTCTCACTACCATACTTTTAATTGAAACAGATATGTTCATTGCCCTGGGATTCTTTCTTCACTTATTGATAAGAATGTCCTATCTCCCCATCTTTGAGCTTATACTACATATTCCAGTATCCAAACATTGCTACTTTAAAAAAAGAGTTAGGTTGCGACGGGGAATAGAATGAGGGGCATCATTGTCTCCTTTCCCCCTTTTTCTCTCTCTATCTCTCTCTCTCTCTTTCCACTGTCTCACCTCCTCCTCTCTCTCTCTCTCTTTCCACTCTGTCTCACCTCCTCCTCTCTCTCTCTCTCTCTCTCTCTCTCTTTCCACTCGATCTGTCTCACCTCTTCCTCTCTCTCTCTCTCTCTCTCTCTCTCTCTCTCTTTCCACTCTGTCTCACCTCTTCCTCTCTCTCTCTCTTTCCACTCTGTCTCACCTCCTCTCTCTCTCTCTCTCTCTCTCTCTCTTTCCACTCTGTCTCACCTCCTCTCTCTCTCTCTCTCTCTCTCTCTCTTTCCACTCTGTCTCACCTCCTCTCTCTCTCTCACCCTCTCCTCTCCCCCCTCTCATATTCAGAATGATTAATGACAGTGACCTTCTCCCATACACCTTTATATAACAGGAGAGAGGTCTAGCTCATTTAGTAGCTTGTGGTAGCTAGTACAAAAAGGGAGATTAGAGGAGGGATTTAAATATCCCCCCCCCCCCCCTCTCTCTCAATGTCATATACAGAATGACTAACTCTTTGACCTTTTCATACATCATCTCAGGTGAGAGGACTCGTTTAGTATCTGGAGGTACAATAGTTGATGGCAAGCCCATAGTATTCTTCAATGATCTGGCTGTCCGATCCGATGGTATGGTCTATTTCACTCATAGCAGCACAAAATGGCACAGGTTTCAACATGTGTCACTTGCCATGGAAGGAAATAATGATTCAAGGTAATTGTACTTTAATTTACAATCTATCTCATATATTACTGTTTATCATATCTTATTTTTCAGTTTATTGATGATTTCTGACTCTGTACTGTAGCTGTATAATTTTTCATTCTCTATGAACAAAACTAATAGTGATCTCATAATCTTTCTCTTTCCCTCAAATTTACACAAAAGATTTGACAAAAACAGTAAAACAGTAAAACTATATGTTTACAGAAGTTATCAATTAGTTGTACTGCAATTTTACTATGATTATATAAGCACATATTTTTATAGTGCATTCAGAAACGTGAAAGTGGATAAAGTAGAAAAGTATGAAAAACCAACACAAGAAATATGTAGAAGACAAAAAGAATGTTTACTGCACCCATACACCCATTCATATTACATTTCAGACTTCTTCAATTCGACCCGACATCAGGCGAGGTTTCTGTTCTAATGGATGGTTTAACATTAGGTAACGGAGTACAGCTATCCCAGGACGAGAGTTTCTTGCTTGTAGCTGAGGGAGGGAGGATGAGAATACATCAGTAAGTACATGTATGGAGTTGAGATCGGGTTTGAAAAGGGTTCGAATCAATCTCCTTTCCTTTGGGAAGGGGGCAATTATATTGTTCTTGAAATATTCAGATACAGTTTTAGTAAAGGTCAAATTGTTAAAATAAGTTCCAATCAATATCTTTTCTAGTCTACTCATTAGAATAGAACTGAGAGAGAATTAGCGAGAATGAGGTAGAAAGAGGTAAAGAGTGAGAGAGAGAGAGGGAGGGAGAGAGAGAGAGAGCGCTCTACTTCTTTTTCAAAGAATTACATGGTATAACCCTGAAAAGTTTACCGGTACCTATAAATTATTTCATACAAGTTTATATCATTTGATCTCATTGGCATAACTACAAAAATGTACCAGTAGTCTGAATAAGTTTGACTCAAGTATGTTAATTCTGTACACCAAGCACAATATATACTTGTATTCTGCTGACCTTTCAAAAATAAAATGCTGTATTTGTCCTTTTCCCCTACAGTATATGATTCTCATAAAATTGCATTATATATTTCACACAATATAAATCCTTATATGTGAAGGTACTTCCTGACCAGTTCACGAGAAGGAGAAAGAGAAATATTTGCTGACAATCTACCAGGCTTTGTGGATAATATCCGTCCAAGTTCCAGTGGAGGATTCTGGGTAGCCCTTCCTACCATCAGACGACACTGTCTCTATGACGTCTTTGCACCAAGACCATGGCTCAGAAAATTTCTTATCAAGGTAATATAGTCATTACAGCAGAACAGGAGTAAATATTACCACTTAGTTAAAGGATGTTAACGGAATGGTTAATTCAAACTAGCATAAAAATATCTTAAAGTGACTAAAAACAGACGACAAAAAAATTCAAAGAAAATGATTATCAACCGGAGAAACTTTCACCTTCTTTTGATAGGCTATTACCGGTATCATAATTCCTTTCCAAAATTGTTCTGGAAAGAACATTGAACTTGGCCCTTGATTTTTCTAGGTTATTTTGCAGCCTATAACAAAAAGAAGAGGTAAATGTATTTCACTTCTGTTCTTGATTTCACTATTACAGCTGTAAAGAAGGCTGTATTACTTTGCTGATAAATTGGACAAATTAAAATAACTATTCCAATGACAACATTGATGAGTATATGTTTGTATGTAACTTTAAAACCATTCAACTGTTGCTTCTTTTTGCCATCTCTCTTCATCCTAGTTCTTCAGTCCTGAATTCATTGTGAAGTCTACCACTAAGCCTTATGGTCTGGTCATGGAGTTTGCTGAGGATGGGCACATAGTACGAAGACTTGATGACCCTACCGGTGCTGTAGTATCTTACATCAGTGAGGTCCTCGACACGGGAAGCTCACTGTACCTCGGATCATATACTTCTCCATTTTTAGCTAAGCTTAGTCTAGAATGAATCTTGTTTTCTGTGTTGCCAAATATTGTAATTGAAATCTAATTCAATCTAGAATTACAGAAAATGATTGTGATGTCATAATGAAACTTTATTGATTGATTCTCAAGAATACCGCTAAAAAATGTTCATGTACACAAGAATGTTTTTGCCTCCTGTGAAAGTTTATTTTACCTGTAATAACACTGTCTTTGCGTGCTTGCTTATTAAAATGATTATTTAAATTATATATTCTTGAATGTTTGATTTATTCTATGTATTAGAGGTAATTTAGTGATTTTATTGAAATGACAGATACATATATCTCTTTAGACATTCACTCCCGGTAATTCAATCACACATTCACACAGAAATTCACCATTGTGTCTAAAAAGGGAAATAACCTTCACCAACTACTGGTTATCAATATCTTTTATTTTTATTTACAATGTTCGGACCTCCAATGAAATAATATGCAGAGGATGCAGAAAGAAGATTGAGTAAGACTTAACACGGACGACCACAATGTCTCACATTGATCATGGTGTCTACTATACACACACTGTACATCTCACTGATTTGAGCATGATTTTCTGTTTATTGCATGTACATACAGCTGTTTGGAGAATATTATTGACTTTGGCCTATCATTCATACAGAGAGCAAACATTTCACCAAACGTGTACGATGCATCCTCTCCCAAGAATAAATGTAATTTCACAAAAGGCATTGAATATATCATTGAAGAATAATGTTAATTGTATGAATACTATCATGTAACCATTTAAGAGCTTACATTAACCAGCAAGCATAAATAACAACAAAAAATAAGAGAATGACAATTACTACTTAAGCCTCATTGTATTGAATGGTTTTCACTAGAAAACATAAAAATATAGTTGCACTTCATAGGTGAAAAATATCTCTATACAAACTATTCTCTACTCCATAATACCTTACATTTTCTCTGATGTGTAGCTGTTAAATTATCTTGTCTTGTTACTTTCAATCAAATGGTATCGTTATAAACGATATAATACTACCGGTATATGAAACAAAGTATAATTTACCTCTTTAGCACAATGTTTATGAATTGGGGGAAATCGGGTAAAATAAAGATATTTTATCAAGCACACACCAAAATTTACATATCAAAGAGTAGATTTGCAATACAGGTCCTTTTAAGTGTCTTCTGGTCACATAATAACAGAAGGTTGAAGGTGTGATGATAAACAATGTACTATTCAGATGATATGCAAACAAAACAAATCATATCTAATATCCATTCCGGAAGAAGTTCTCGATCCACTATTAAGAGCAGCATTTTTTCAAGTATTACCCAAATTAAAGATTATATCTTGAATCTTTTCATACACACATGAAACCAATTTGGCTGTAACATATAGAAATACACACTTCCAATCAATAGTTTATGGAGACAAAAAATAAACGTGATGTAAAAAGGACCTTTTCAAAGATACGTAAACAAATATTTTTTTGTGCAGAACAGATCTATAGTGAGTAATACTAAAGTTGCAAAACCAAATGCTATAAATAATATAATGTCTCTTCCTTTGATAGTCATGGACAAAATCAAATCACATTTCAGATATTAATTTCCAATGATTTCTATTAATTTACATGTTATAGAGAATATTCAATTGTTCATACCCATTTATATACTGTTGAACATATAAATGAATACAAAAATACATAAACATCATAATTTGATTTCTAGCTTCTGAATTTTTAAATGAAAGGTCCAAACTTCATATTTCACATTTACCAGGTCATCAACTATATTGCTTACTTTCATTCACTTTGTGGTTTTTGGTTTTAACAATCTCTATCAGGAAGATCCCATCCAAAAAACAGTCATCTAAAAATCATTTATTAAAATAAATACTGCAGATATGATATAAGTGTAACAGGTCAAAAATACTCATTCCCACAGTTAATTGCCAACTAAGGCATTCATTAAATGTGTTTAAATGCCTATTAATTCAACAGTTTTTTTCACTTTGGGTCACATGTTCAGCAAGTCAGCTACACAAAAACAAAGAAAAAACAATAAGCCATAAGAAGAAGAATGAGAAGGACAAATAATCACAGCTATTATGGAAAGGATGATGGATGAACACACACAACTACCCAAGAAGAGATATTACTTGCATTGAAATGTCAATATTCTCTTTATAATCCTACGTATATAACCCACTCTTTCACCAAAAGATCTATAAACAATTTTGCAGATGTAGAGAAAATCAAACTAGCATTTTTTTTAAATAGGAGCTCCTTCAGAATATAATACATTAAAAAAAATTCAATGAGTATGCAGCATGTGATAACTATTAAAAGTACACAGTAAAACATGTCATTTATACAACCATTTTTTTTTCTTTCTTCATTAACTTAGTGAATAAATGACAAGGATGGGGACTTAACATTTACCAATTGCTAATTGAAACTGAACTGTTTTCTTGACATGAATACAACATTCCAAACTTTTAAACAATGGATACTGATGGAGACATTTATGAGGAAGACAAGTGATGTTGTCCCTCCCTCAAGAACCACATCCATATAACTAATAAATGAATTTATGTGTCATTTATTACTTTCACCACACCTTCCACGACTTACACTAAACCTATAGTAAGGAAGCCAAGAACAGCAGGAAATAGGCAAAAATTAAATTGTTACCACTGAAACTTGATGTTGCGTTTCCCTCAAAACCGAACCCACATACTAAATAACTAAAAAAAACTCCTACGAACCATTAATTACTTTCTGCACTTCTCCTAACCCTGAAGTTAAAAAACCTAGGACATATTTTTCATACAATCCTTAGGCAACCACTGGGGGAGCAACCCCGACTCAAGAACACCACTGGCAATGGAACCCTAAAATACCAAGAGGGGGGGGGGGGGGGGGGGGGGGCACTGGTAGAGGAACTACAAAACAGTGGGGTGAGAGAGCAGAGGCATAAAATAACTAACCATTAAACCAATCTATATATTACTCCCATCTCATTTCATTTCTTCAAACTGATCTAAAGGATAATGCTCCTTGTGTTTCTCCACGTGTTTCTTCATCTCATCCATCTGTCTCTGGAGATGGACAGGCATCTCCTCATAGACATCTGTCAGCATGTGGTTTGGGGAGGGCTTCTTCAGCTTCTCCGCTGCTTGAAACTCTTGCAGTACCTGCACAGGGAGACAAAGACAAAGAGTATAGGTTTTTTTCTTCAAAGATGATTTCAACTGAACCGCTTATAGTTTAAAAGAATTAATATTTATATAAAATAACTTTGATTACAGTAAAATCATACTTTGTTGAAATAATATCCCATGAATTAACAAATTCTTATGTTTGGTTCCAATGATTCTCGGGATACATTCAAATATGATTGCAGGGCCCTCAGTATCAACACTGATGAGGCTACCCTGGGTAAGCAAGAAATATTATTACTATTATTATTATTATCAAACACTTGCAATGTTGTCAAAACACACATATAATCTGTTATCAGATGTATACACAAATTGCGTAATAAATAATGAAAATCATTCAATACATTTCCAATGATGGAAAACAAACATGTACTGGGGGGTATTACAACAAAAAAATCCATCAATTTAATATCAGGTGTTGTGACGGAAATGTGAACAATCCAAGACAGCTTGTTGCAAACCTCTATTACTTAAACAATGCACCAATTTCTTCCTGGACTGCGCTTCTATAAACAAAATCATTCAACATTGGCTTCAAAAGACCCCCCCCCCCCCTTTTTTTTTTCTCACATTGAATGTGTGACTTACATCCTTCTTTGTTTCTGCCATCCATGCCTTCTCTGTATCAATATCCCACCATTCCTTCTGCATCATGTACCTCCTGAGACGACCTATTGGGTGATCCTCACTGTCCCAGTACCGTACCTCATCAACAGATCGGTACGCAGAGGAATCATCACTGGTGCTGTGATGTCCTATCCTGTATCAATAATTGGATGTAAAAGCAATGGGATGTGTCCATATTATTTGTGCTTTTGGATGAATGAAATAATATCAATAAGCACAATATAATCTAAATTCCAACTCAACCAAACTTAATTTCGATCATAAATGTACAAGGCACTACTCAACATTACTCCAATTTTGCCTACTTGATTTGTAGTATAATGATCATCTTTGTCCTCTTTATTTTTTTGGCCCATACAAGAGAGGGCCTATTTAGAAGATATAGCTGAAATTGCGGTAAATATCTACATCCTTTATCATTTTGGAGAAATATTTCACTGTTTAAAATTTGTTCTGTTTCTACAAATAACACTTAAGAACGATTTGGCTTCACATAACTCAAAATGTTACAAAATGTGTTTAACAGATCCCTTTCTCTGAAGTGGCAAGTTATCATTGCCTGTTTTATATTACACATCTCATTATACAATTCATGATGTACCTGTAAGTCATGGCTTCAATTAGGACAGGTTTACTCTCTTCTACGGCTATCTTCCTTGCTGCCTTGGTAGCATTGTAGACAGCAAAGACATCATTACCATCTACCCTGATGGTGTTCATGCCATAGGCTGGTCCACGGATGGCTGGGAGTCGGAAGAGGAACAATACCATTAAAGATAAGACCAGTTATGGTCATGCGATTGCATTGTGAAAGAAACATTGTGGAATCGATCAGAAAAAGTTGATCATCTAGCATATAAGTATTGCTGTGTACTGCAGGTTCTGGAATCATCAAAATGATAAGAAATTTGGCCCAGTCTTTGTAAAGTTACAAGCACCGTACACAGAAAGATGTATATGGGACTACGCACACATGCGTGACAGGTGCGTTTATCTCTCACACACCAATAGACAAACTAATTTACCAAATATATCAATTAGTAGGCGGTTTCCCGGCAAAATTGTTATCATCATGTATTAGTCAAAACATACTCTTTCACATGATTGGTAATAAGAGCTTCCATTTCATTTTTTGAAATTGAGGCATTTCCTATACTGGTCTTTACCTTTAAGTATATATTAAGTAAGGCAAAGAGAGGTGTAAAGAGGGAAATATGAAAGCTACATTTAGTGGACTTCCAAGCATACAGAAGAAACTTGAGACTGTGTAGTCCCCTAATTCACTGTTCCTACTCTATTCATTGCACTTCCATTGTCTTCTAATATTGAACTTTGGTTCTCTTTTAGAAAATGGTCCATACCCATAGACGAACTATCACCATGCATGGTATTATCTAACTGGTCATCTGATTACTGTAAAAATAATCATGTAATATTTCAAACTGGTCACTTCTCAGAAAGAAATTACACCACTGTTATGTCAAGGTTTGTAATCTCTTTAGAAACTACAAAAAAATTAAGTTACCATGCGAACAACAGATACTTTCTCTAAATAAATTACCTTAACAAAGTTATAATCAACACCAAAACATTTAGTTTCTAACAATTTCCATCCTTCATAAATATAAACTGCTACAAGTCCACATAAGAAGATAAAACTAGCACATTAACTATTCCGTTATAAATAATACTTACCAATGCCATCCCCTCTATACTGCTCAGCAGTGGGTGTTGAAATAGCATAACCATTATTACGACTACAAAGAAAGTGTAAAGGAAAAATACTTTGAGCAGAGAGTTCCAGAAAGAGGCATACATCATAAATGAGACATTTAATATTTTTTTCAAACTAATTTTGATTAGCTAAAGAATAATAGATAATAGATGTAACATTCCTCACGAGATAGAGAAATAAAATGAATGTTTTTCTATAATCAGTCAAGCATATTTGAGTTAAAATCCTATTTTTATATGTGATGCTCTTGGCTACTACTAACTACTAACAGTGTTCCGATTCCAACATTATTTTCTTAAACCAAATTCATATCATATTTGACAACATTTGCTTGCAAGGGTAGAGCTTTATGCATATGCATAGATATAGAAACATGCTTAAACCTCAATTTCCAAACAAATACCAGGTAGAGTAGCTAGGATGCTAAACTCACCAGAAGAATATAACTGGAGCATCTAGTGTAGCAGCAAAGTTGAAAGCAGCATGAGCGTCACCTTCACTGGCAGCTCCATCACCAAAATAACACATAACACAAAGGTCACGACCTGCTCTCTTCAAAGCGTAAGCTGCTCCAGATGCTAAGATAGACAAAAATAGTATTTTAAGTTTAAACATGCCTTTGAATTAATAACACAAACCTGCATAACCATCACAAGTCAATAAGGACCCCTTTCAAAAGCAAAACCTCTAATTGATTATTAATTAAAGAGCCTTTCAATCTAGATTATTTATGATTTGTTATGAGCTGTACAAAATTCTGCAATTCAGTTAGATGGCTGCAAAGGAATTATTCAACAACAGAATAGTAATTAGATCATGAACAAAAAAACATGCTTCTATCATTTACTGAAATCTCCATTCTATTTCTATTCAATCAAAAGACATCAGATTCTGAAAAAGCAAAAAACAAATTAGAATACAGTATCCTTTCAAATCCAGAGGAAAAAAATTCATGAAATACATTTATCAAGTTCCCAATTTATTCGAGGCAATTAGGGAATTCATTTTCAACTTTATCAACTTTATTCTCAAATTTGATACTGAAAACCTACCATGGGGCATCTGTGTGGCAAGAGGTGATGAAATTGTCATGAAATGATGTTCTTTTGAGCCGTAGTGCACAGGCATCTGACGACCCTTGGCTAGATCATTACAGTTCCCATAGCATTGGTTCATGGCTTTCTCCAATGAAAATCCTCTCCAGAGAATTACACCTGTTGCAACCAATCAATCAATCAATAATATTAAATATGTTTTATTCTATTTTTGACATTTGTAATCATAGATGTGAATCTATAGCCTTTATAACTACACTAGCAATTCACTGCAGTTACTATTCATCTGTTTCACTTTGAGTCAGTCTATAAAGCAATGATCACAGGGTATGCCAGCAATTCAGTGATGAAAATCTGCAGAAAAGGGTATTGTTTCGGTATAAAACTTTTTTTTTCTTTAATGTGAAAAATTAAATTAAAATAAATTTAAGAATGGCCTTATACTTGTAAGTATTCCAAAATTATAATTATTAACTAATAACCACACACAACTCACCTGCCTCTCTGTATTGACCAAAAACAATATCCTTGTCATTGAGGGCAGCAGCACTTCCAACGTGAGTTCCTTCTTCACCATAGTTGGTCATGTAGAATGATATTCTCCCCTGAAAATACAGTTCATAATATTGATTAGTTAGGAGGAACTTGTAACAGATAAATCTTTAGAGGAAAACATAACTGCTGTAAAAAAAAATTAACACAACTTGTAAAGCTTAATCACAAAAAAAGTTGTTAGTTCATTTTGTGCATGAAAAAATTTTGCAATGTTATAACAATTTTTTTAACATTTTAGATAAAACACTTACTAAAGGATAAAATAGACTTACCATTTTCCCCCTTATCTTTACATCTATTGAACAACATACCGCTATGTGAGAAAGACATCTACATATCTCTTTTATTTCTTGTAAGCATTGCAATATGTAATCTAAATAACCTGCTGTTACTTTGGATTGATTTTGTGTCAAAGCAAAAAACAAATGATACCCACATGTAGTGCCTATAATTGGTGTTAAATGGGTACCCGGTAGGATGCGAAAGTTAATGTGGTCGGATTAGCAAGTGGCGTTTGTAAAATGGCGACTGGCTGGAATGCTCCCCAGGGAGTGGAAAATGTGCATACATTGTGTTGCAGGTAAGCCTGAATCTGATGACCGGGGTAATACTATGTGCTGCGCCTAGAAACAAAGTATTAGGCACATTATAAATGTGAGCTATTATTATTATTATAATTGAAACTCCCCAAAATATATCAAATTTTAGAAATTTAATCAAGGGTGTCAATTTACCTGTCTCTGAGATTCATACAGAATCTTATCCATGGTGTTTAGGGTGGTCATTGTCTTATACATCTTCACAACCATGTCCTTATCCAACCCAGGGTCTTGGTCAGGGTCAATGACCTCTCCATCTCGACTCATGACTCGGTAGACTGGGATCCCATCATACTCGTCTGGTTTGAGAAAGTCAAGCTTCTCGGTGAACACAGACTTTGAGCCAGGGTACTGTGGCGTGTCATCATCGATAGCAAACTCTTGACATCTTTTGGCCTGCATGCGGATGGTACAGAGAAGGAGGAAAACAGGACATAATGAAGGCAAACACTTACTTCAATGTCTGCAACCGATTTCCCCAAACAGTTTTCAGTATCTGCCTTGAAAAATACTAGTAGCAGTGATCTCATACCCCGAGAGGGCGTCGGTTAAGTCAATCCAACTCTTACAATTAATTATCTGTACAGATATTAATATTGATATTTATAACTTTGCGCTTGTGGTTGAATATGAATATGAGAGCAGAAATCATTATATCCGACACCATGGCACAGCGAGCGTGAACATAAACATACCCACGGCGGCGCTTGTTCAGAAGCCTATCCAAAATTTTGACCCGTAACTCCGGCGGAAAATTGACACGAAACAGGTAATAAACATAACAAATTTTATTAACTCATGATCTTTATTTGGACATTTAATGTAGAGTCTATATTTACTTCATTTTGGGTATGTTTTGGTAGGGTATTTCCACGCCGGAGTTACTGGTCAAATTTTGGAAAGGCTTCTGTTCCTCAAGAAGGACCCTGCGAACTTCCTTTCTCTGGATGCCTTTAAAAGGGCATTGAAGGAAGCGTCCAACTGATGGCAGCACATCGCTGTCCACGTTTTTAACAGCACATCACTGTATATATATATTTTGCACCTGGATTGAGGCCTACACATATTTTGGACATGGCACACACCACACTGCAGTGCATAATCTTCGTTGTATGAAGTAGCACTTACCGAGGAAGAAGAACAAGAACAAATGAAGAACAAGGCAACAAGCGCCCCCACGGACTACCAACAACACATATTCAGTACATGATACATCATCATTGTACATGCGCTACATGTTTGAAATGGTGCGTACGGTGTCTGGTCAGGTCGCCCCCAAGCCGGTCGCCTCCTATACGCAGTCGCCTCCTATACGCAGTCGCCTCCTAACGTAGTCGCCCCCAAATTGTGTGGTCGAGTCGCCTCCTATACACAGTCGCCTCCTATACACAGTCGCCTCCTATACACAGTCGCCTCCTATACACAGTCGCCTCCTAAACACAGTCGCCCCCTAGGCAGTGCGCTAGTGCAGCGGTCAGAATCAGGCTATTTATGCTATTTATATGTTTGTAAATATAAGAGAAAGTTTCATTCTTTCTGTTATATTGTTGTCCACCTTCTTCAAGATAACTCTTTTGTGCTTAAGTATAATTTAATAAACGTTTCATTTTATTTTGATGCAACAGAGATTTACATTCAAAAGTTTATTTGTTATAATATATAAGTATTGTATACAGTAATATTCTTCTCATTTCGACATTATCAGCCGCTTGTTCTCTATTTCGTTCCCTAAACTAAATATAAGGTATAATTATGTGAGAGGGGGGGGGGTAGAAATTTGGACGTAGCCTGTGTACTGTATTTATTATATTTGTCTCTCCGATCACCATTTTTCATAATCATGTTTTCTGTGACATTTTTCTGTGAACAACATTGGCAGATAGACAGAGAGAGAGACAGAGTGAGAAAGAAAGAAAGAGCAAGGGGGGGGGGGGGGGGGGGTTTAGAAAGTTGGAAGTATAGTCTGTGCTGTATTTATTATTATGCTAGTTCTCTCTCCGATCACCCCCCCCCCCCCTTCCGAATGTTTCTTTGGTTTCTTTCTTTTTGTTTGTTTATATCTTTTCGCTAAATTATAATGTCCGACCAATGTACTGTCAACAAATATTTTTTTCATATTAAATGTATGCAAAAGAGATGCTTTTAATAATTTATTATTGTACAGTAATATTCTTCTCATTTCGATATCAGCCGTTCATTCCGGGTTTCTTTTCTTCTTCATTTAAAAATTATTGTATAGTATTTTTTCTCAAAATCGGAAGAAATAATTTTGGTATAAAAACAAAAAGCGGAACAAAAAGCAGTACGAGAGATAAAGATGGAAAATGGCGTTGAGAGAGCGAGCGAGCGAGAGAGAAGCAAACATTTCCCCTATCATTTTTCGTCTGTGACAATACTTAATCTCATCCTCTTGTTTATTCCTTTATCTTTGCATGATTGTAATATCTTTGAATGAATATTTTAGATAGGGTTAAATCTGGCTATGCGTTATATGATTAACAATTCTTATTGAGGAGTATGTCGAAACGTGCTTTCGAAAATCGCCAAACAGAAGACAGTATGCTATCAAATACTGTCAAAACACATACATAAACACACAAATTGTATGCATAAATTAAATGTATTAATCCCAGATGCAAATAAGAAGCTGTATTGAAAAAAACCTTCGCTCATGTTGTTGTTTGTCTGTGTTACTGTTATTAAGTAATATTAACAGCGTTGTGGTGTATACTGTTAGCGTTTGTTGTTAATTACAAAAAATCTATGATTACTTGATAACCCAATCTTACCATAAAAGAATTTCTTACATTTTAATGAATTTTATTGCCATACATTACCTATCAAATACTGTCAAAACACATACATAAAAACAAGTTTATAGGCCTACATTAATCCTAGAATGGGCCAGATGCAAATAAGTAGCTTCACTCATGTTGTTTTTTGTGTGTCTGTCTGTGTTGGATTTGGGGTGTGTTGTTTACAAAAATAACGCCGGTGCGAGTGGGCGGTTGTACGGCCAGTACATGCAGGCGCAGGCTAGGTCGCAGCAGCGCTGACTTCCCAATGAATAATTCAATAGTCTAAGAGTTGAAATGTAGCTGTTTCAAAATTCAACTTTTAACAACTTTTCACTGTGAGAACACTTTCTTTCATTACAAATACAGAAAATATGGTTGTATTCAAGTTTATTTTACATCCGTAAGCTCCGTCACTAGAGCTATGCAGTGGTCAGTGGAGTCGGAACGAGCGATGTGGTAGTAGGCCTACTAGTACGTAAAGCTGGTGGAAACTTAGATGCAAATATCCTCCAAAATATGCAGTTACGAGGAAAATTTTCAATATTTAGTGATAACAAAGTAATAACATATAGTACTGAGATACAAGGAACTAAAAATGGCTTGACTTTGAACTTGTAAAATACATCAAATTAAAACAACAAATTAGGGGGCGAGATGACCAAAAAAGTGGGGGCGAGCTGACCAAGAATCCCAAAATCGGCAAAAAAAATCGGGAGGCGACATGACCAATTGGGGGCGACTTTGTAAGGGGGCGGGCTGACATTGGGCGACTTGACATGGAACCGTTTGAAATATAGACTAGACTCTCCGCGAGCGATTTCATTGAATTAATTGAGCTTTTCCCCTCAATACCGTGTAGCCTAAATGAAAAATACGCGCCCGGGTATATTGGCCTCCCTATGAAGAGGACCACATGAATACGAACAGACGGGAACTTCGCCTGAAAAGTGAAACGAAGCACTGCGTTGTCGTTTAATATAGACTAATTGCACAAGGGAATTATGGGCTTCAAAGTCACTTTTAATTTATCATAGTTAGCTTACCGAATAATGTAGATTTCTAATCTGCTTTGAAGCTATCACCTGTGCAGGAATCCTCATCTGCTGCTGATAAAGGCGTAGAAATCGACATGTTTTTGGTATTAACGACGCCATTATCAGTTTCAATCTGTAACTAGCAGGCTATTTTTCGTACTCGGATTGCGCGAAATTGATTATGGTATCTTTCACACGCAACAAATCTCCGACAAAAGCGGAGGGGGAACAAGAAGAAGAAGAAGATAATCCATTTATAAAGCACAGACACTACTTTGCTGCAAAAACTCGTGACGTGCTTAAATCAACAGCATAAAGTTAGATTAAAAGATTTCATTTACTTTTGATTTAAAAACGATGGTGATTTCCTAATTTCTAACGGTAAGTTATTCCACAGTTTGGGGCCTGTGCATGCGGATCTCCCAATCAGTTACTTTTGTTTTATGTGATGGGGTTCGCAATAATTACCTTGGGAGCTGCGCAGGTTGTGAGTATTTTTATGAGAATTCAGTTTTAACAGTTCTACATATGAATAGGAGCTTGACCAATTAAATTGTATTCTTTAGCGTACAGGGTCCCGTTTCTCGAAACCAACGACAAGACAGTCATAACTTTATCCGCCAACCACGGAGATGGCTCTGATCTTCCTATACTCGTTTCACAAAGAACTACAAGCTAAACATCTTGTGAAATCGATACTATCGGCGATATAGAGGAGCCAAGACATAAGTCGCAATTCCACCGGATTAACAAAGAGTAAAATTAGGAAAACTGCACTTATTTAAATAAATTATGAATTAAAAAAAATAGAAATAGTACCAGGGAATAAGTGATGCAAAATGATTCAAAATTTGTGTAGATTATACCATAGAATTACTTTTAAAGTACAATTTATTGTATTACATTTCATAACCGGTGAATCAGTTTTGTTTTTTAGATGGGTTCCCCGGGATATTTTTTATTTGATAGTGTATTTTTATTTTTAAAATCCCTTTTATTATTCTTAGTGAAAATACGATGCTATGAAAGTTTTGTTCAATGTTTTAGCCTTTAACAGAATAATAAACTGACAAGACTGTAATATTCTCAACGTTAAAACACATGTTTTAAACTATTAAGTGTGCACATTTGGAGATAGAATTTATCTCGAAATTAATACAGGTCTGAAAACTAGAGATACTTCTGACTATATGGCTGGACGGTTTCGAGAAAAGGGTCCCTGATGAAAATAGACTTACTCCGCAAATTTGAAAATTAAAAGACAACCGTGTTTTTTTTTCATCAGCGAAGAGATAGCAGTGGATAATGCTAAACAAATCCTTGCACAAAGGCCCTCTCAGTTACAATATATGTCTTTCCTACTGATAGTGGTAGGGAAATGAAAAGAAGAATATTATATATTTTCCAGATTTTTTCTTCCATTTTCTAATTTTAATAGCGTAAGGAATACGAATCTACCAGGGGAGGGGTAGAGGAGTACGTGCACTGGGCGGCACTGCAAGGGGCGCAAAAAGGGAGAGAAAGAGGAGAAAAAGAAAAAATTATTCGCCCTCAATACGCAAAGTAAAGTGCAGTAAAAGAGTTCTTAGGGATAAAAATGCGATATTTTCTAAAAAAAAGCTCTGTAGTTTTGCTCTTTTGCTTATGTTGATTCAGGATCTTGTAATTTCGCAATTTCATTGTTTGCCCAGGGCGCCATGATCCCTAAATATGATTTATTCATAATTTTTCGAGAATCTAATCCTGAAGAGCCAAAGTGCAACAATGTGATATCAAAAGCATGGAACATGTTCCCAAATTGATATTCAGTTTTCAAATGTTTGTGCTAAGATGAAACTTACCTTTTGAAATGAAAATGGTCTATCAGAGGGCTACAGTACCATAATCCCACACCAGCTTGTAAACATTTAACTGTGACTTACCCATACAGTATGGGACACAATTAATGATGATGATGATTACAAAAATGGTAATAATAATAATAATAAAAATAATAATGATAATAATAACAATAATAATAATAACAATAATAATAATAACAATAATAATAACAATAACAAAAAAAAAAATAGTATATCAATTTATAAAGTGCAGCTACTATAATTGTGAATAAACAAAGTATCACATTTTTCCACGGCTGTTGCTGAGACGTCATGAAGCATTCGATGAAGTTCTACCGACAGGGGCGGCGATTTCTTTTCATGGCCGGGGGGGGGGGGGCGGACAAATGCGAGGGACGAGAAAACATAGTAGCTGGGCAAGAAGGGCAAATGGCGTAATGGGCACAAACGTTGGGGAGTGTTGAGGGCTAAAGTATTTACGAGTCAGGTAGAGCAAAGCAAGTGGAGCGTGAATATGCGTAGGAAAAGCGGCGGATCCAGCCGGCGGCAGGGGATTCGTGGGAAAATATTGAGCGACGAAACAGCCACCCGGTGAATAAGCAGGAGGGGGGGGGGGGAGGGGAAGGAGGTGGGGGGTAAGGAGCAATATTTTTTGTTTGGCCCCCGAAAGTTTACAAATCGCACAAGCCGATAAGTTGCTCAGTAGGGGGGGGGGGGGTAATGAGCATTACCTTTTTTTTAGGCACTCGAAAATTAAAAAATCGCACACCCCCCCCCCTCCTCGAGTACCAGGGGAGGGGACCCGTCTCCAAATAAAGGTAAAATTAGCGTGTTTTACCTGTTTCTCCCAGGGGAGGCCCCCCCCCTGGATCCGCCACTGGCGTAGGGTCCAGGGGCAAAGCCCCGGCGGGAGTCAAGAGGCGGAGCTTCATGAAGCTCAGGGGTATTATGCATTTAATTACGGTCAGATGAGTATGCAGGGGCCAGGGTGGAGCCCCTGGAACCCATTAAGGGTTTTACGCATTTAATAAACGGTCAGAATGATGAGCATATTTTGATAACTTATTTGTGACACTGGCAGGATACTAATTGGAGTGAGGTCTAGGGGACAGGGTCCCCAGAAGCTCAGGGGTTTTAGGCATTAAATTACGATCAGAGTGATAATCATCTAGGGGCCCGCCTTTGGACCATTGGTGGAGTCCAGGGGGCAGAGCCCCGGGAACTCAGGGAAAATAATGCCATTTCAGCAACATTAATCACTGGTATCAAATAAACCATGTTTGAATAGTACTGGGGAGGGGAATCACTGCCCCCCCCCCATCAGTACGCCAGGGAAAGGGGCGGGTGACGGAAGTGACTACCCCCTCCCCCATAGAGCTATTTAAATCTCTATGCTACCCCCTCACACGTTTTTTGAAGATCTGTTGTTTTACAAAATTACATTCTTTAGCACGAGCACGAGAAAAGAGGAACTAACTTCAAGCAGAGCTTGTTGAAGTGTTAGTTCATCAGCAAAACTATAGTATAAAAACAAGCAAAATGCTTTTTTCACACTTCACTTTTACTTTTCCGGTATCTCGTGAGCAGTCCGAAAGGTTGTCAATATCTATTAGGTAAATTTTAATAAGTAGGCAGGAAGGGACTTAAAAGAGCAAGCTAAATATTCATTTTTGTAGCACTGATCTATTTCTATAACTCTTAATCTTGTAAACATACAGTGTAAACTGTGCTTACATAATACCAACGGAATACATATTTTCTACAATATTTATTTGTACATTTTGAAGGATATTATGGGAGGGAGCGAGAAGATTTTTGCATTTTTCTTAGTCTAAACGCTGCCCTCTAGAGCCTAAAAGTGTGTTGCAGTCTTTAGTCAGTATTTGCTATACATTTGTTTTTTGTGTGCACTTTTGCAAATTATCCGGGGGAGGGGAGATGTGTCCCCGCGTCCCCCTGCGATCGCTGCCCCTAACTCACACATTTCACTTTCAATTGCAGAACGCTCTAGCTGTGTCCAATGGGTAAGGGAAAAGATCTTCGGAAGGTGGGGCATCTCGCAAAAACATGTGGAAATATGTGTTCAATATCCTAATCGCGAGCATGCAGTTTGTGTCATGTTGTCGTGTGAAAAGCCATTGCCGAAGGACACAGACACACAACCTCCATGGGTGCGATGTGACGTGTGTGAACGTTGGCTCCACCTACTTTGTGTTTTTTTTGCTAAAAAAAAATCCACGAAAAAGGACTATGTATGCCCTATTTGTGAAGCGACCAAGGGTGTCGATTTGTATCCGTGGTTGGAAGATGGGGGGGGGGGGGGGGGGGGGGGGGGTGATATTTTCGGCAATGGATCAAAGCAACCAAGAAGATTATTCGATGTACCATTCTCTACTCTTAATCCTTGTTTGAATCGAGTTCCCCTTCCCCGCGCGTAGCTCGGAAGCTCTGACGTTTCATTAGATTATTAAAAAAAGAAGACGTTTCGATGTACCATTCTCGACTCTTAATCCTTAATGCTTGAATCAAGTTCCCCTTCCTCCGCGCGTAGCGCGGAAGCTCTGACATTTCATTGGATTATTAAAGAAAGAAGACGATTCGATGTACCATTCTCGACTCTTAATCCTTGTCTGAATTCAGTCCCCCCCCCCTCCCGCGCGAAGCGGGGAAGCTTTGACATTTCAAATACTTATTACCCTTAATTCTTGTCTGAATTCATTTTCGCCCATCCCGCGCAAGCTTTGCCAGTTCACTAAATTATTCGAGAAAGAAGACGATTCGTTGTACTGTTCTCTATATTAATCCTTGTCTGAATTCAGTTTTCCCACATGATGTACGTATAAAACGTTCGTTCGCAAATCTCTGCATGCACAGCCCGAGTGGTGGCCCGGCAGTGCTTGTCGCAATAGCTTCTGGAAAGGAATTGTATACTTCTGTTAGTGTTAACGGCCACTAAGTAGGCCCATTAGTGACTATACAAAATATATGCTCTTCCTGGCTTTTTGGGAATGTGTCAGTTTGCAACAGAAATGGAGAAACGCGGATTTTGTTGAAAATCATGTGATATCACGAACATTTATAAATCACTTGTATGAAATTGAAAATAAGTCATGGTTGGGTTACATTGCCCCCCCCCCCCATTAACCATTAATAATGGTGTAGGTTTGTTTGAGACAATCTTCTATTCTCCTAAATAAACCTTGGAAACCTGAAAATTGCATTACATTGTAAATTCATCGTTAGTGAAAATGTAATATTATAATAATATACAACAATGGGCAAATAATTGTTTCCAGACCAATGGTTTAAGTGAGAAGAACTAACATGTTATATTGAAGCTGTTGCCGTTTGTATATACATTTACTTGAAATAATAAGTAGCCTTGAAAGTGTCGCAATATTTCATGTGTGAGTGAGCTTGAAGTTTAATGGTGTAGGTTTGTTTGAGACTTATGTAGCCTTTACACTGTTTCATTAATATATCTCCAATCAAATAAAACTGAATGATGCTATCGAACAACTTTTACCTATCAATATCAATCTGGCTTAAAGTGACTCGGTAATGTTGATGAAGATTGATGAAAAAACTGCGTAATTTTTGTATGAAATGTTTTTTTTACTTGTTTAAAAATACATCTGAATTATATGCTCTCCTTCCAGGGGCGGCGATTTCTTTTCATGACCGGGGGGGGGGGGGTACTAAATGCAACGGATCAGTAGCGTAATGAGCAAAACGTTGGGGGGGGGGGGGTAGAAGAAAAAAATCCACATCACCACCACTCTCAGAGGCGGCGGAGCGACTTCCAAAGTGGGGCGAGGGCACCAACAAAAATGGGCTCTTTCTGGGGGGAAAAGGGCACCTTCAAAGGGAAATCTCAAAGCGAAAATATATATTTGTTTAGACATTGGTATATACCCCTATATTGTGTTTACATTATCAGGGATGATTTCAATATCTAGTTTCTCTGTATACATCATATAAGATATTGCTTAAGCATCATACTTTGCAGTTGGGTGTGATGGTCTGAAAATTCATTTGCGAGCTATCAAAGCGAGCGAGGAATTGTGAGGTCAAAGTGCGAAAAATTACATCTTATAAAGAGGAAAACCCAATCCTGATGGGGTATAAGCACATTCTCATAACGGAAAACTGAAATGACCTTTGATAAGTTACATAATTATAAAATCTATAACTACGAGCGAGGGTAGCGAGCTAGCTTTGTGGGAAATTGCTCTTAGTCGCTTTAAAAAAGGGGCACGTTTAATGATGAGAGGAAAAGGGGACACTTATCAAAAGATTTAAGACACGTATTAGAAAAGAAAAGGAGCATGTGTCAAATTACAAAGGCTTATTATCAGAGGTGAAAATGGGGCACTTCTTACACCTAAAAAAAGAGGCACGCACCAAGGATAAAAAGGGATTTTTATGAAAATAGGAAATGGGCATTTGTCGACGGAAAAGAGGGATTCATCAGATTTTGATAGGGGCATTTATACGAAGTGAACAGGGGGGCATTATGAAAAAGGGATAGGTTCCTTATTAGAAAGGAAAAAAGGGGCTCATAATTGTTAAAAGGGTAATTATCATATGTGAAAAGGGGCACTTATCGCATCTGAAAAGGGGCACTAACCATAAATGAAAAGAGGCACTGATGAGAATGAAAATGGGGCACTATTATTGTAAAGGGAAATGTGCATTTGTTGAAAGAAAAGGGGGTAGTCGTCCTAGAGGGTGGTTGCCCTGGCCCCCTGGGGGTAGTTGTACTAGGGGGTAGTTTACTGGGGGGGGGGGGGTATCCGGGGGTGGATGTCTTAGAACCGATGAAAAGAGCACTTATCAGGAGGGGAAGGGGCACTTGTCAAAGTAAAACGAGCATCTTTTAGAACTGAATAGGGTCATTTATAAGAGATGAAAACGGGCACTTATGAGAATGAAAAGGGAACTTTTTTCATAGATGAAAAGGGGCATTTATGAGAAGGGAAATGGGCCCTTTTTTAATGAGGGCACTTATCATAAGGAAAAGGGGCACTTATTAAAAAGGAAAGAGGGCACATGTGAAAATATAAGGTGCGCTTATTCGAGTTAAACCAAGCCTCTTACTCCCATGGTTGTGAGTTACACTGGGCCTATAAATATGATCACCAAAGTATTAAAGTCTCAAATATTGAATATGACAATGTGTTATATATTATGTCAAATGTTATTGTATAAATTTCATAGAAGAACCATTTTTCAAGGACTATGATTTATACCCGCTAAGTCCTTGTAAACTTATTTTCAAGCTACATAATATTATAACACTATTATGTAACACCAGTAATAATCAATCAGCCGACTAACATTATTTATTGTCCAACAAATAAATAAGTCCACCAATAATCTGTTAATCTATAAATCAATCACTCATGCACACACTCGCTTAAAGGTCATTCAGATTTGATGCGGCAAATCAATTACTCACTTTCTTCATCGATCTTCGGTCGTTCAATCAATCAGCCAACCAACCAATCCATTAATAATCTGTCAATCTATCAACCAATCCATCACTTAATCAATAATTCATAAATCAATCAATCAATCAATCATTCACACACTAGCTGAAGGCTCGTACAGATGTACTGTGCCATATCTGAACAAGCCTTTACTCAGTTAGTCAATCAATCATTAATCAACCATCAATAGATAAATCAAAATCTTAGTGTTCTCTTTCTTTCCATTATCCTCTTTCTTCCGTGGCGTAACGTATGTTAAATTTGGAGCATGTAGGGAATTAGAACTCCCTGAGGGATGTCATTTAATTGGGTATTTAATATTTCTTTTTTTACGAGGGGGATCATGATAGAGAGCGATATAATATATCAATCTACTTCCCAAGATTACAAAAAAACTCTACTTCTCTTTTCTCTATTTATGCATGTCTACATGTCCACCTCTCTCTCTCTCTATCTCTCTCTCTCTCTTTCTCTCTCACTCTCTCTCTCTCTCTCTCTCTCTCTCTCTCTCAGACACACTCTTTCTCTCTCCATCTCCCTCTCTCTCTCTCTCTCTCTTTCCCTCTCTCTCGCTCTCTCTCTCCATGTCTCCATGTGTCTCTGTCTCTCTCTGTTTATTGTCCGACTCCCTCTCTCTAGTTATATTCCCTCCATTCTCTATTCCCATTTCTACCTTGTTTTGCTATTCAGCGGAGAGGGTTAACACACTACCACTGCCCATCAGCATCATCATCATCATCATCATCAGGATAATAATCAACCCCATCGTAACCATCGTCATGATGACCATCATCATCACACCACCAAAGTTAGACACACGACTATTAACAGTTTTGTTTTAGATAATTTAATACGAAATTTAGTTAGGCCTACACAAAAATTAATTATTGTATTGCAATGTAGAAGCGATTAATTATTGAAAACAGCGAAAATCGATCTTCTCACGGTAATAATAATTACACGGTATGCCACTGTATGTAATAAATTTCATTTATACAGTGATTCACTGATTATGGTAACAGATAATTATGAAAGATTCGCTTTCCCCGTCAGCGGAAAGCAATTTTTAAAGATTACGATGAACAATAAGATAATAAGATTAATTCTTGTAATCATAATTATTTTCATAGTTATTGCCATGCACGAAGCACGTATACATAATGTTTGCTGGAGGATACACCCGAATCACGGGCGATTTATAACCGATACAAAATTAATATGTTTAACTGTATTATCAAATTATTTTTAACCTTGTTTTCCTTCATTTCTGTTTTCACATGATTTAGATGTACATATTCCTGATCATGAGAGACAGTCCCGCTGCCGAAGACCACTGCAAGTTGTAGTATTAAATATTGATGTGAGGGTCAAACTTTATGCGGGGGCGTACACAGCTTTCATCTGCTGGATATACATTATACCACTGCAAAGCTTGTCCTGTTATTGTCACGTCGGAAACACAAAGATGGTATTTCCCTTGCTAGGTTGGATAGATTTCGAAATGCTTTTTTTGAAGTGGGCAATGTATCTTCCCGTCCATGTTCTCTCTGAGGACAAAACAAATGCACCACACTGTCGATCTCGAAGACACATTCTTATTGCTTCGTTCTCGTCGTGTACGGACAGTACACATGTCGCAGCGAGTTGTCTGGTTCTAGAACACCAGTAGTCCTCCCCTTCGATGATATTTTGATCATGGTATACTTGGTAGTGTGTATCTATAAGATGGATAATGGAGAAGAAAAAACCCGAAGACAATAAGGTTAGTTTATACGCATGTTTGGTGAAATGTGGAAAATTTTGTCTTTAAATTTCGACACGGGGTTCAAAGAAAATGCACACACAATTGTGTACACTATATTTCATGAAATCAGATCATGTTGACTCGGTTATCAAGAGTGCGTTATTTTCCTGACGAGAAACATTCTGTGATGTACAAGATTTTAAGGTTTTTCTTTTGAATACACGACTACGTAGTGATTACTATCATTATTACTTTTTTAATCTGTGTTGCCGATTACTTCTTCAAACTTGGAGCAATAAATCTCTATCTTCTTACCATTGATATCGAAGGTATGTGCTTGGTTCGTATATCTTCCCTGCTGATAGTGGTCGAGTATTGTCTGCATATGTTGCAAGCACTGTCTTGGAGACCAGGAAGATTTTTCTGAGAGTATAGAAAGAAGGATTATATTACTCTTAATGAATTTTAGTATATAAAGCTTCGTTAACAACTAAATGTAAGTTTTTCAAACTAGTATGCATGCATATTGGTTTTCAAGACAGATTTAGTGACCCTGTATGGTAATGACAATTGCCCTTTTCCCTACCTCAATCTCTCTTTTTATTTCGAGATCCGGCGCCTCACCTGATGCATTTCCAAGCTGGGAAGCAACTATATAGGTTTGATGATCATATATTTTGGATATTTTATAATATTTCTTGGCTTCCAAGATTAATGAAATCATGGACCCTCAGCGACTGGGTCCATGATGATACTTAGTTAACTTTTAACTTGTAACAAGCAAAGTGTAAGCCTAGTTAGGAAAGAAGATATTCATTGAATGATTTTTTTTTTTCTTCATAGAAATATATGCCTCTCTAAATATAAAATTGATAAACATTTTTTAGCTTGAGTAAGGAACTATACTTACTTGTATTATTGATAAGCTGTCCTATAAGTTCGCTCATCCCGGGTGGTTGTTCTAGCTGTAGGAAGACAAAGAACTTGAGGTAGGATTGCGCCATGTTGGACTTCTGACGGTAGTTGGAGCAGACTCCATTCTGACATAAGGCGTAGACCCTGTTGTCAGTCCCCATGTCGATGCCACAGTCTGAGCTCGTTGAGCACGATGGAAGATTGTCGTCGACATCATCGAGGTCGGCCAGTTTGATCTGCAAGATTATTGTATGATAAAAAAAGGGTTGAATAATATTGAGCAAAATAAGGAGAAGAAAGCATCTTGAGTTGTCTTGCTCCGAGCGCGTGAAGATGGCGAATAAAACTTTGAAAACTTTTTGGGTGACAGCCACTGATTGCTCAAGATGCAAGATTCAAGAATGAAAATGACTTCCTTCTAATAATCAAATAAACAAAAAAATGAAATATATAATTCCACTGGAGGAAGGAGGCGAAATCCCCTGAAAGCACGAGGGCTGCTCATACAAATGTGTTTTGTTTTATCTAAAAAAGAATAATATATTTTCGATATGCAGCTAAAATTGTGATGAATTTGGTAAAACATCGATGATTTAACTTGTCATAGTTATGATAGCTTATGGTAAGCAGTCGACTAGTTCGCAACATCCGAGTTCGAATCAAGTGCTGCATTTGCTGATTTTTTTTTGGAGATAATATATGTTTGTCATACAATACTAGTATCACTTATGCGTGATCACATTTTCTTCATTGTCATGTGATACTCATGTGTCCTAAACTTGTGTTTTCTTTGCAAGTAGGGATTCGTGTGAAAATTAGGACCCTTGTAAATCTTGAAGCGTTCCCAGCATGCAGCTGATAGTTTGATACGTGACTAGCCTGACCTAACGCAGTTTGACATCCTTTTTGATGATTTTGTAATCTGTGAGTATCAAAATAGCATCACATCAACACTTCGTAAAGGTTTGGCACGCTTGTTTCAAAACACCATTCAGTCCTACTTTCGTAAGTATGGGGTGGCGTTGGTGTATCCAGTAGAGGAAGGAGCAGGCGTACGTCCGCCCACCCAGGCACGTACTCAGGATTTTTTCAAGGGGGGGGGGGGGGGGGGGGGGGGTTTAACATTTATAAATCGGTATGAAAATTTCGCAACGACTCTGCCAGCCGCTGAATAAGCGTGGGGTGGGGGGTGGGGGGGGGGGGGGGGGGTAAGAGGTTACTTTTTTCTTTTTTTTTTATCCCAAAAAAAATCGCAACGACTCAGCCGACCGCTGAATAAGGGGGGGGGGGGGATAAGAGGACACTTTTTTTTTCTTTTTGGTCTCGAAATTTGGAAATTTGACATTTTGCTCAGTTGGGGGGGAGGGTAAGGTCACCTTTTTTAGGTCGGCCGTGGGCATAATTTTTCTTCTTTTTTTTTTCCTTTTTTTTTTCAAAAAAAAAAAAAAAAAAAAAAAAAAAAAAAAAATCAAAAGGGGGGGGGGGGGGGGGGTTTTAGGTTTTTTAGGGGGGTTTACGTACATAAAATTACCAAAGGGGGGGGGGGTTTAACCCCCAAACTCCCCCTGCGTACGCGCCTGCGCCCACCCCCCCCCCCGTATTTTGAAGGCACTGCAAATATGTAAATGAATGAATTAATGAATAATTAATAAATAAATAAATAAATGAATGAACAACTAAATAAACTAAAAGAATATATCAATCAATTAATCAATCAATAATGCATAAAATTTAATAGGATACGAATAAAGTAAATATAAATTAATAAAGTGAAAATGTCAATATTTGTAGTAGGTGGGGCTTCCAAGATCTCCTATCCCCCTTCCCATTTAGGGAAGGATGATCCACCCATCCATTTTCTAATTACTGGATATGCCTCTGGAAGATATGTTAGTGTGGCATCACATTCTATTTATTTTTGGATATAAATTATGTAGTATGGAAGATGAATCGTGATTATATGTTTTTGCTAATCAAAGCAGCCACGATAATATAAAAAGAGGTGATTACTTTGGATGATTTGGATGATTAGGCAGAGTGTGAGAAAAAATATCCGGGCAGGAAAATAGACCATGCATAAATCATTAGATGCAACATCTCGGAATAGAATTAGAAGCCCCTTCTCGCCGCACTCGTGCGTATCAAATATTAATGATTTAACTGTCCATCGGGAAACCTGAGGACGTTTCCTCATTCCGCATGAGTGCATTATGTCTCGTTAATGTTATCAAGGCTTAGACCAACGTCAACGCTCTATAGGTAGCTTGTCGAATCGAGGAAGAGATATGGTAAATCGAGTCTTATAATTTATGAACCATCTAGTTTGCAGATATAACATCAAAATCATCAGAAACTAATTGTACATTGATCCAGAAAAAATGAGTTTTCTTAGATTTTTTTTCTTCGGCAGATTATTGTTTAGTGATTAAGTCATTGCAAGAGCTCTTGATGTGCTAAAATCTGTATCATAAACTTAATTTAAAATTAATAACGATGGCGATTTCCTAACTTCTAACGGTAAGTTATTTCATAGTTTTGGGCCTGCGCATGCTCGATCTCCCAATGTTATTTTTGTTTTATGTGATGGGGCATGCAATAGAAGAGTTGTTTCGTCACACTGAGTGATAAAGTCAGTAAGGTTTACTACGAGACTGTCTTTATTTTATAATATTTTAACAAAGTGTAGGTTGTTCTTTTAAGTATAGCGGATCTATTTTAGTCTGTGTTTAAGGTTGCCGAAGTATATAAAGCCATGTTCGTATACGAGAAGGACGGAGCACATCATCTCTCTCGACTGGAGAGTATGACTCTGGAGGAACAAATTGCCCTGATCATGCCGATAATGTACGGGCGGAGTGGGAAAGAAAATAAGATGCCTTTCATCAAGCTATGAACTTAGGAAATTTAATATATACTTGGTGCATGTATAAGTGAATATATTCTTCCTACCTCTCCATCAACGATGACGAACTGAGAAAGCTTGAAGTCGTGAACGGCCATTGATCCCAATGGTGACTCAGCAAGATAGACCATCAGCCGACTTATACCAAGACATACCTGATATAGATCAGAGCATTACATGTCATTATAAAAATAGATCATTATTTTAATTTTTAAGAAGTCAGTGTCAGAAGGAATTAGCAGGGTCATCATTGAAAGACGATTGTTAACGATGATTACATGTTTTTTGTGTTTTTTCTGCAACATGGTACATAAAGAAAATAGTCACTAGTATTTACTTTGATTCGTCATTATAACGGTGATATCACAAAATCGCTAAAGATAATAACCATTCGCATGGGCTCTTTCATAACATCGCAATTTGACAAGCCTTTTCATGATTCTACATGCCTGTTGTTTTTGGTATATCCCATGTCATTAATAACATGCCAAATGTAGATTTATTCTTGCAATTGATGGACAGAATTGTAACGAATGAAATAAATAACAAGATACATACCCTGAGGCGGTCCTCCCATGGCATCTGAAGGAGATTGATAAAGGTAAGAGGTGTACCACGCTCTACTATGGCCAAACTTGAGGGCGTCTTAGAGCCTGACCCTCTGAACGGACCATCACCCTTGACACAGAAACCTAGAAGCTGCGGAAGAAAATGTAAAACGTTGATAAATATGATATCTAATGTAATGTATGTAATTTAAAAAATGTAGATTGAGCTGACTAAGTAGGAAAAGAAGATAAAAGACATAACAAAAAATGTGAAATGACACAGATAAGGCAAATACAGAAGAGGCGTTCATGTAGCAGTGATGATCCTAAGTCGATGTGATCTTTAACTCATTTTCGATATGTTCTAGATGGCAGTATTTCGAACATAATTATGTACTGAAAGATACGAAGAGAGAGAGAGAGAGATGAATGGATGTGGGGACGATTTTTTTTTCTTCTTCAATTTTACTTTCAGAAAGTAATGAAAAGAAGAAAACAAATTGGCATGACACTCTACAAAGTATTGATTCAATTCTTCAAGGTGTTTTTTATTTTCGCTCTAGAGATCTGAGTTTTCTCTCCATGTAGTACATGCAATGGAATAGTATGCGTTAAAAACAGCACAACGTACTATTCTCACCTAGGCCTACGTCTTGTCGAACAACAATCTTGGGCACCCCTTTACAGAGTACTTTTTTAAATCGCATCTCACCCTATCACCCGAAGACTTACGACATGCATGTAATAACCAATCAAGTCGTTCAATTTAAGAGCTATTCACCTTGTAACTGTGTTCGGAACACGCCACAAGGCCTTCTCGATCGTGAAAAAGAACTTCCAACGTGAAAGTAATTGAATTTGTCATCTTTTCGCGTACGAAGTCGTCGTATTTCTTCTATCATTGAGGTCTGACTATCAATAGCGACAGCGGGGTTGATTTGATTCATTCAACCGTTACGCTCAGAGCATTCATGTTGTCACTATTCTCCTTCTCTCAGATTCTTTCACTCCTGCTGCAACACAGTCGTCAGGTAACTGCACTTTTCTTGCCCATCCTATAAGGGCATGAGGAGATAACATTCCAGATGGGGATGAGGCATTTTATCAACGATGCTGGAGTGACAAGATACAGTATCTTCCATGTGGGGGGGGGGGGGGGGGGTAACCAGGAATGATTGATGAGGCTGTCAGTTTTAATCTTTACCTGATCATGTAAGGAATTCAATTTAAATCTTTAAATCAAGATGTAAAACTTAAGACAATTCTATTTTGAAGAAAAACAAATCGGAAAACACCACGGCAGGTCACGAAGCTAGATCCATATAGACATTCAAAATATTTTACTGATGCAAGTGATGAAGAGGCCAACATTGTTTTTCAAAACCAGAAAAAACAGCCACTAAATTTGCGGAGAGCACTAAACCTCCATGTACACGTACTTCGTTTTGACTGACAGTCGAAAAATAATAAGATCAGCAGTCTAATGAGGAAACGCCCTGAGGGGAGAGTGCGTGGTTAACAAGCTTATCATAACCTAAAATCAAATTTCTCTTCAGTGATTTGATAACAAAAAGTCGAATATGATCTCCATTAATAATGTCAACCATTTTGTATTAGAGTAGGTGTGCAGTAATTTAGACGTATAATAGCTGAAAAGAGAAGCAGGTGTAAGTGAGAAAGGGGGAAGGGGTGAAGGGAGGCGTGAGGATGTGCCTCCGTGAAGCTATACGCTAGTGGTCATCCTGACAATTTCACACCACTTATCCCCATCCCGCGGAAATTGCCACTTCAACCTGTCAGAATGCTCTACTTCTATCTCTCTCCCCAAGAGATGCGAACTGATTCTATATTTTCAGAGCACGATAAGGGAACGGCGTAATCTCGGCATGTTTAGACAAAATAAGATTGGGAAGAAATGGCTATAATTGACGGTAACGTTTTAGATATGTTCAAACAAGCAGGTGCTGGTACCTCCTTGGTTCAAATCAAACCAGGCTACCGTTAACTGCACAACATCACATGCCTTATAAATGACTTGTCCTACACAATGTTGGTATAAAAAAAAAAGTGAATGCTGTTCAGGCTCGTTGGGTTCTTTCGTTCCGATCATTTCGGTATTCATCACCATCTTTGATTGAATTGAAGATTATTTATTAACTTAAATTAAGAGGAACATTATTTAAGAGATAACAATTTAATTTAAGTTGAAATAAAAACAGAATAAAAAAAACAGAAAAATATACCCTGGCGCAGCAAAAGAAGAAAACCGAAAATGAAGAAACTAGTCAACTTCAATTTTTACGAAACCTATAGAATGGGTATTGTCGGATTACAATAGTGCATTACTGCTTTAATGCTGACGTCCATCGCAGCACTAGATACACTAGTTCCCCCTTTTACAAGAACACGTCACGTGATCAACATCAGACGATATTAGCATGGACGTGGGAAGGCGCCAAACGAAGACGACATTCCAACCCCTATCGTAGATGTTCTCATTTTCTTCTCTTCGCCTCGGGTTAAAATGAAATCAAGCTGGGGCAATGTCTCGAGACATTGACTATGTCAGTTCATGCATGGACCTTCTACGAATTCATGGGAGAAAGAAGATGTCGCCCCAAGCGCGTCATGTCTTGCCGACTTTCATATCTATTCGTTTTACATTCCTTTTTTTAGTTGATGTGAATTGTCTTCATATCTCTTTTAATCATTGTTACCAAAAGCACAGAGTCAAAACGAAGTACTCGACTTGACACAAATTAAATGCCGACTTTGAGGCAATTATCCGGATAGCAAAGAGTATTGGATAGAAATCTGAAAACCGCGCTTTTAATATTCTTGTAGGATGAAGGATAGTCCTTTTACTTCAATATACATTGTGACAGATCTGCGTATCACCAATATCCTGTCACTGATTAATCCCACTAGATCTATACCTTAATCACTCTACCTGGAATGAATGTAATTTCGTCAGCACGAAGATGACGTTCACAATAATTGTGTTTCGCAGCATTAAGATGAGGGATTATAACGAAAGTGCCAATCAAATGCATCTTTAAAACAAGGTAATTGTAGGCTAATTATAACGTTTCTATTGAAATGCGAAATGAAGGAATTTTCTATATCATAGAGCTTACTTCCGATGAAAATAATACCTGGTTCCAAAAAAGTTACCGTAACTCTTTCTGGTCTATATCACATCATTTTGTTTACACTAGAAATTACTGTGTAAACTGATAACCATAAACTTTTCAGACCCTAAGGTTGTAATCTGTGTTGGTTACTCGTAAAAGAGAAAACAAAACAAAATCTTGTTTTTAGTATGAAATATTGAAGGTAAAGTTCTAGAAATTGTGACAGGCTATGATTATTCACACATGAGAGAGAGAGAGAGAGAGAGAGTTGAAGAAGTTGACTTCGACGGGGAATGACCTGAACGATCTGTTATCTCCACGGTAGAACTAATATATACACCAGGGGATTCCAAGCTCTCAGATCGACGGGACGATGACCTCTTCTTCCCATCTTCCAGACGCGTTTATATGGTAGTAAGTGGTGGTGGTGGTGATGATGATGATGATGATAGGGGTGGTACAAAGTCTTTAGAGACCGACG